GGGGCTCTTTGCCCATCACCAGAGATTAATGGCTATTTTTAAGCCACCTCCAGATTGTTCCCTTACCAGCCGTTCTTTCAGGTCCTCTGTTGTCTCCTCCATTTTCTATTTTTACTTTGGCAGCAGAAATAAACGGTCGCATAGCAACGCCTCTTCCGGCCTCTCCAGGATTGTTCCTTCACAGAGCTCGGCTTTCCAGCATCCTGTCGACAAATGCATTTTGAGCCCCAGATATGCCGGGCTATGTGTACGTGTGTTTGTGCATGTGCAAGAGACTGGGAGCTTTGTGCAAGGAGTTTGGAAAAGGAGAATTAAATTCACAGCCAGGGGAAGGACTCCAGCATTCCCCAACGAGAAAGGGAAGGGCTGGTGTTTCATGGCTCGAACATCAGGTGCTTGTCGGGCGGAAAATCTTGATGGGAGGTGGTGGGCTTTCCACAGACTTTCTCTGCTGACCAGGAGAGATCAGAGGCCTTTCCCCCCATCTTATGCCCCTAACAGGAAGCAAAAATCCCCCTACATGACTCAAGGAGTAAAGATAGGAACCGCCTTGCTTTTCCTACCCCTTTGAGCAGTGTTCATCCTTTCGCAAAGGGAAACTGGAGACACTGTCATTGGTCATCCAGAAAAGATCAGCCGTGAGTCAAGACTTTGGCATGAATCCCCGATGGAGAGCCGGAGGGGATCTGACCCCTGTTTGCTGTTTCTTTCTCATGTTTTCCAGCATTGGGAACCACAGTGGGGGTGATTGTGGTCTCCAATGTTGACAAAAACATCAACTTTCAGTAGCGAGTTAAGCTTACACAGAAGTCCAATCTGTTCATGAATGGTTGAACAGGGATGTTGACCAGGTAGGTTGCTAAGATGGAGCAACCCCTGGGCATGACAGCAGATGACATGTGAATTAATTGTCCTGATCAATTTGTTGATCTATAAGGAGGCGTTCGCTACTGTTTGGGTTTGGCAATCACAAACAGTACTAATTGTGTTGAGGTTACTTCCCGCCTTCCCAGACAATAGGCCTATTTGTAGAAGAGTTAAGAAGACACAGGCTCCTTTCTTTCTGAATCCCAGTTGGCAATGGATACCTACAGATGCAGCTGTTCCTAAAACGGAGCTGCCAATTTAAATCCTGGGGGCCGTGTAGGAGACCTCTGAGTATCTTTGAACTTTGGTTCTCAGATGCAGAATTGGAAAGAAATGGTTGCACATCCTCTCTCTATGCTAGTCAGAAGCTATCAAAAATGCTGTTTCGGATTAGACTGTTCTTGTGAGAAACACAGGAAATGGTTTTCCACGGAGATGGATTAATTGCAGCCATCTGGTACTTTACACATCAGGATTTGGATTTTCCCAGACCTTACCTGGAGATGTAGAGGACCATCTGTTAGCAAGTGGGTGCCAATGCACAGAACTAAATAGTCCTGTCTTTTTTCCCTTTTGAACACACACACAACCCTATTTACAGTGTTTTGCCTTTTCCGCTAGACAATTCTGGTGTTAGCTGTTTCTCAAGAAGCTCCACGGAGAAACAAGTGCTGTTGACATCTCCAAGGATGTCTGTAATGCAGGGGTCTTCAAACGTGGCCCTTTTATGACTTGTGGACCTCAACTCCCAGTATTCCTCAGCCAGGCATGCTGGCTGAGGAATTCTGGGAGTTGAAGTCCACAAGTCATAAAAGGGCCAAGTTTGAAGACCCCAGCTCTAGTGGGTTTGGAAGGTCCAGAAGTCAAGATAATGGCTGCAACCCTATAATTGAGACCTATCTCTTTTTCACATGTAAAATAGAGGCAGGATTTCCGATTAATATGTAGTCATGGCTGCTGTCAAGTCATGTTGTCTTGGTTGACCTTGCTAGCAGACATCTCCTTTTTAGCTCTGTTTAGGACTTCTTCCAGACCTCCTCTACTCAAACACCTTGGACTGTCACTCTACTTCCCAAGAGATTGAATACTTGGTCCAACAATCAACGATAGACTGAGGCTGTTGGTGTCATTATTAATTCTTTGAACCCAGAGCAAGAAGAGAAATGCAGAGGACTTGGAGAAAGTATTTGTCCTTGTCCTGCCATTAACTTATATGCTCTCCTTCTCCCTCCATTTCCAACTCAACGTTTCAAGACATGTACATTTAAACACAGATTTCACTGACATGCTTCTAGTTGGGCAATCAGCTAAAATGCTAACGCTAACGGGCTGCTGGGATGATTTGCTCAGGAAGGTCTTCCCCCTCCCACCCTCTGTTCTCTCAGCAACTGAATCAAACAAGCCTTTTTTTTTGTCTCAGACCATTTTTCCTTATAAGGGGATGCTTGCCTGCAACTATGACTTGCCTGCCGAACAGCCCAGCTTCCCAAATCTCTTCCCCAGCAGCCGCCTTCCAGAAATATTGGGATTGCAACGCTCAGAATCCTCCTCTCCAGCCCATGCCCTCTGGATTCTGCAGGACAGTTCCTCAAACACCCCACAACCTCTGGAGGAAATGACTAGAGAGTAACTCTAGCGAGACAACACCTGCCAAATCAATTCTGGAGGCATCACTCAACGTTCAACGGGTGACCCATAATTTCATCACCAAAGCCTTGCTCTTATTGGCTTGTCTTCTGGAGCAACTCCAAACTCTTTGGCCTCATCTTCTCCGTGACAGATAACAGAGGACAACTATGATGTCTTCTTGAAGTCTTTTTTCCTCCAGGCTAAACATGCTCATAATCTCCTACAGCTGCAGCATCAGAGAGCCGGGTTGTCCCCCAAGGGAGAGAGAGTCTTCTGAACTCTTCCCTTATTAAAGGGGAGTCCTGACTCCATGCCAAATGAGAAACATCAATTTCAGTTTCCGATTTTCAGACCCATCTGGTTCCCTCCCCCATCAAATGGAAGTTGCTCGGGTGGATCAAATCCATGTTGGCTTAAGGAGGCCAACTAGTTCAGGAAAAGTCTAAGAGGACTTCTCCAAAGCTTTGGAAAGTCCAAGAACAAAGTCACCAGTGGTCTCTCTCTATCCCTCCTCTAGGGACCAGATGGGGTTAAGGGGAAGCCATTCATGGCTCTTCAACCTTGTCATCCACCTCTCTGCTCCTGGCTGGCTGGCTGCTGTTTAGACTGGCTGTCTGTCTTGAGTAAACTTCAAACCTCTTTTAATGTGTCCTCTGGCTGATCTCACCACAGCCTTCCTTGAAACGCTGGAAGGAGAAACGGCAAGGTTGTCACCATCCCTCCAGCAAAAAGCAGATTTGGCTATTGCTTCGCTTCTTCCTCCCACCTTCTTCTTTCCACATGTGAATGTTGCGCCGGCATCAGAGCCATCACACTAAGGCATTTGTGTGGAACCTTGGTGCGGTTTCTGCTGACTAGCAGGAGATCTAGGGAGGATCTCACAGTCTTACAGAATAAGAGTTGGAAGGGACCTTGGAGGGTCTTCTAGTCCAACCCTCTGCTCAGGCAGGAAACCCTAGACCATTTCAGACAAATGGCTGTCCAATCTCTTCTTCCACAACTTCTGGAGGCAAACTTCCACTGGTTCATTGTTCTCACTGCCAGGAAATTCTTCCTTAGTTCCAGGGTGCTTCTCTCCTTGATTAGTTCCTCTTCCTGAGGACCCAAACTATGAACAGATGGAGAATGGTGGTCTCTATGACCTACGGACCGCACAGTTTGAGACAAACATGAAGTAAGAAGCAAATGCATCCCAGAGCCTGCCGTTGTGTTTTGTGCTCTCATTGTTTCTTCTTTTTCTCAGATGTGTCTGCAAATCTTGAAGGAACTCTTGCACCCAGTGCTTATACCATAGTTCTTTTGCCTAGTCCCTGTCAGGTGCATTTCTCAGAATGACCGTAGTGACTTACGACCAGATTTCTGGTCCCCGTTGCAGGTAGACGTAAGTCGAGCACTACTTGTATGTGTGTCTGTGTCTGTTTGTGGTATGTATTGGTTTAGTGATCGGAGAAAATTGCAAAAAAAAAAAAAAAAGACATTTGGAGAGAGTATAACGTGGTGTGTGTGTGTGTGTGTCTTGGCTAGGGGGTGTGAGTCACGGAGATGACTTTTTGGAAGGAAACCACAGTAGAGAAAGTCGGATGTAACCTTTTCTTGGCTCTGTCTTCCTCCTGGAATACTTTTAGCCCCCGTCAATGTTGTGTCTTCTTTTTTTGGGGGGGGGGGGAAATGCTGCTTCCCAGAAAGAGGTAGCTGCCAATTTTAAAACTGGCTTTTAAAATTACGGTGTTAAGAATAGTGGGAGGTGAGCCTGTGTTTAGTTTGCTTTTTTAAAAGTTTTAATTTGCAGGATTTGGAAATCTCGGTTTTAGGGGTATGACGTAGCTCAGACGGTTGGTGGGGCCAAACGGTGGAAGGTGAAGCAAAGTTTTGTGTTTTGGAACTTGGAATGAAAACCAGGCAGGGTGCAGGCTTTACCTTCAACTGCCTTAAAAAAGGGACTGGGATCTGAAATGTTGAAAGTTGTGATGACCCGAGTACATAGGTAGAGGATCAGGTTGTAGAAGTGCTTTAAAAATATATTTATAAATGGCTAGAGAGACACTTTTCCAAGCATGTTGAGTGTTAGAGAGGAAAATATACTGAAAATAAACCATTACAATATTCCTAAAGTGATTCTGCCATATTTGAGAAACTCAGTTTGGAGAAACAGCAGATAGTCCTTGACTTATGACCACAATTAGGACTGGAAAGATTTTGTGAAGTGGTGCCGTCCTTAAGTGAAACATTGCATCTCTACAACCTGTGACTGCCCCCGTTGACTTTTCTTGATATAAGATGCCTGAGGAGGTCACAAATTATGACCCCCCAGGATGTTGCAACCATCGTAAATGCAAGATGGTTGCCAGGCAGGGTCGTAAATTGGAGGACCAGTCATGCTCTTCAGTGCTGTCGTAATTTACAATGGCCACTAAATGATTGACCATTAGTTGAGGACTAGGTTAAGGGTGGTCATTCCATAGTTTCTCTTCTAACTTGCTCATTGTTCTCCATTTACTTTCCAGCCCACCACTTTGCCACAAGGAACCATCAACATGAACCAGTGTACAGATGTTGTGGATGGAGAGAATCGGACCGGACAGAAGTTCTCGCTGTGCATCTTGACACCTGAGAAGGAGCACTTCATCCGAGCTGAGAACAAGGAAATCATAAGTGGGTGAGCGAAGGGCTGGGGGCAGGAACGAGTGGGTTGGCTGCACCTGAGAACTCTTCAGAATGGAGCACCAGGACGCGCTTGAGAGTAGCCAAAGTCTACTGGTGGGGTTGCTCCTGAGGCCATCAAAAACGGGGTTGGTTCTTCATTTAACCATGGTTGAGGAACCACCTTCTTATGGTCCTCAGGTTGCAAGTCATATGGGCTAAGGTGCATGGAATGTTACTCCAATGTTGGTTCAAAGGGCATCTGGGTATATTATTCGGGCTTAGTGGCTCTCCCATAGAAAACAAGAGATAATTAGAAATTCAGGAGATGCAGGCTAGACGTGGATGTCCCAGGGGGTCTGAGAAGATGGCCAGGGCAAACACACATGTTTGTGAATTCACTAGGAGTTGCACAATGCTCAAAGGAGACTACCTTTATTTATCCCAGCCCTTCATCTCCAGAAAGTGTAAGGGAGAAACACACTTCCTTTCCTGAGCTAAAGTTGGAGGCCAACTTCGGACAAATGTTTTCTGTTTAAAGAGATGAGGAGATTTAGATGAACTCCCTTGGCAGAACTTGGTTTTTGTAAACAAACAAACAGATCACAAATAGATCCTGCCAGCCTCAAGGGTGCCCACCCCTGGCTGACAGCATCAGGAAGCTGCAGATTATTCTTAGTTATCTGACGCATGTTGGCTTAGAAACAAAATACAGATGAATGTTTCAGAGGCAGGGGACGATGGAGTCAAGACGGCTGTGCTAGTCTGAGAAGCGGACACAAAGATCTAAAGGAGGCTGTGGCAGGGTGGCATTGTCACTCTCTAATTTATGTGGTGCTTGCTGCTAAAAACCTGTAAATCCTGAAAGGGATAAACGTAAGACGCAATGGAAGTGCAAACACACTGAGCCCCAGCGACAGAGAGATGGGCAAGTGCTGAGCTGAATCTAACCTGCTCAGCAAGATTGGCTGGTTCTCAGATGGGCTGCTTTGCCACCTCTTGGTAATCGGGTCCCGTTCTCTGCTGGGAGACCTGTTTTTCTGATTGAGTTCTCTGAGGTCCAAAGAAGACCTAGGATTGTTCAGAGGCATAAACAATGAAGTGGGACTCGGACATACTTCCCCCCCCCCATTGCCCCACAGACTGTTCCATAGAAATATTGCTGGGACTATCCAAGCCGAAACTCTATTCTGTGACCCCCAAGGGTTCCTTCAACCCGCAAAGCCGCGCAGGGCAGCCCCCGTGCTGCTTCGAGAAAAGAAGGATGGGTCCCTCCGTCTGTGCATAGATTACTAAATGTGATTTGTGTTGAGAATGTCTACCCCTTACTGCTGAGGAAAGACATAGTGGCCCACCTAGCCAGGTCTATACCTTTCGCTACAAATGGAGTCGAGGGTCTTTCTTTCGTGAATGTCCGAGCTGGGACAGGTCTGACGGGCAGAACTGGCATTGTTCTAAGGGAACGTATTAGGTCCATGCTGGGGTGGCTAGTGGTTTGCTAACCTTGGGAAGAGATGGATTGATGCTCACTCATGGCTTTGGAAATATCTTTGGGCATGGAACTTGTTGAGCAAGAGAAGGCCAGCCTTCGATGCTTTTCTGGTGAGCTTTGGACTTTGCTTTTGTAGGCAGGAGATGCTGGAGCTGATTCTGGCATCTTGCAGGATATGGTAGAATCATAGGTTCATCCTGCAGAGCTGTGAGAAGAAGCAGTTGAGGACGTTCTGTAGCTCCGTGGGAAAATACCATCCAGAGGATGTGTGGGGAGGAATTCAGATCTAGGGAGCCATCAGTTTGTCCCACCCAGTTTGTGATACATGTGAGCTGCATGGGATTTGTGCAAAGGTTGGCCAACAGTGAACATACTCCTAAATTTCATATTTTATTCTACTTGCTGTCCTCGGAATGAGCAGGAAGCATTGAGGTGAAGGTCCTTGGTGAAGGAGAACAACCAGAATTGATTTTATCTTTCTAGAGAGTCTTCTTTTCCTCTTCTTTCCATGTTCTCTCTTGCTTGTGTTGGGATCTATTTCTTCAGAGTGTCCCATTGTGTGTATGTGTTTTTAAAGGGGGAGAGGAGCCTCCATCAGTTGAGGAAGGGGGAGCTGTTGCTCATATTGTCTGGCTATTCCTCTTCCACTGTCCCTGTTTATTCAGTGGGGGCAATTCTCAACTTGCCTTCTTGCCTTCAGATGGTTGGAGATGCTGGTGGTCTACCCAAGGACGAACAAGCAGAATCAAAAGAAGAAAAGGAAAGTGGAGCCCCCAACACCACAGGTAAAAATAGGAGCACACCTGGCCTGCTTCTGATGCACCTCATTCCTAAAATTAGAATATTTTTCCTACCACTGGTTTATAAGAATGTGGCCTTCCTTCTTTCAAGTTTATCTTCTCTAAATGGAGTTTTTTTAAAAAAAACCACTCGGTTTATGCGTAGCTTCCAGCCGCTCCTCTGCTTTCTCTCTCTACTTTGGTCAGTTTCATGTATTGTGGAATATAAATTGGGACAGGATACCCAAAGGTGCTTTTTCAAAAGGCAACTGGACTTCATTTTTTCTTGAAGGCGTTTCGCTTGTCATCTAAGAAGCTTCTTCAGTTCTGACTGAATGTCAGAACGTCAGAACTGAAGAAGCTTCTTGGATGAGAAGAGAAACACCTTCAGGGAAGAACAAAGGAAGTCCAGTTGCCTTTTGAAAAAGCATCTTTTTTGGGTTAACCATGCCCTGGATGACTGAGAATCTCCATAGACATTCAACACAGGACAGTTTGCTAGATGATTGTCGATAACTGTCACTCAGGAGCACATCTTCTCAATTTTTCAATTCCTTTTTTTGAAGCTTCGAGCAAGAAAAGATTCCTGACCATTGACATGGAGTTCCATGGCCCCACACTCTGATTTTTCCTACCAGAGATGGCCCTTGCAGATAAGACTTAGATGTGGTAGATGAGATGGAGGCTGAATATGTCCTCTGGGGATCTGGTGACAGCTTATTTCTAGCCCTCTTTTGACTATAAATGGTAAAACACACACATATACGCAGGCACAGAATCTAGGGTATGACTCATTCTTTCCTGCGCAAGTGTCCTACATGGAAATGGTTCAGGAGAATCTTGGAGGGTTAAAGATCTCAACCAGCTTTCTTTGGATGTAGCTGCTGGTCCCAGATATATGGGATGATGCTTAGACCAAGGTACTCATCCTGAACCATTGAATGAACATTATCTGATCCATTTGACAGAAGCTGTCCAGGTATTTCCTTGTCAAACTAAAAGGATTAGATGTCCTTTGTTATTGATAGATCCGTGGTTTCTCTCAAGCTTCTTTTGTGTAACCTTTGTGCATAACCAGTTGACCCAACGTCATAAGGGAATGGGGTGCCTTGGAGTTTAATGTGGAGGACTTTGGGGGTGGTTGTGTGAACAGCCCGTCATACAGAGAAAATAGGGTTACGTTACATTCACAGGAGATAGTGTGTCTGCTTGACTGCTCTCTGGTTGAATATTTCTCTGCCTTTTAAGTGACCTTTAATCTACATTGTGAGGTTCTGAATGGGCTGCTTATATCATCAGATGGAGAATTTGATCAAGGAATTGCCATAGGTTTCATGACCCAACCAGGTAACATCATCAGTGTGAGAGGTTTGCCAACACTCCCTTCTAGCACTGATGATGCTACCTAGTTGTGTCATGAAACATTTGCAAGAAAACCACCAAATTCAGAGAGCATCTAGGACCCCACATTTAATGTAATATTGTATTTAACATATTTAGCATTTATTGAATATAACGTCCAAAATCTGTTGGAATAGCATCCGTCCACAGCAACATTGTTTTTTTTAGCAAAAAGCATGCATCGGAATCTATGTGTAGCGTTGTAGCTTTGGGATGGAAGTGTCCTGAGGTCCTTCATTTGGAGGGGTGAGATAGAGAGGGCTCCCCAAAATTCAGTCTAGGTAGCAGCCATTCCCCTTGTCTGTTTCTCTGTGACTGAACCTCTGTAAGCATTTTAGGGAGTTTGGCTCAGCTGAGCCAACCCACACAAGCGTAGAGTAAGAGGCAAAGCAGTCTTAGATGGGTCGAGCCCCTCCCCCAGAGCTCTTCCTACTTTACTCTCCCCTCCCCCTCCTTTTTCAGTTTTTGGAAGCAGAACAGAAAAGAGAAAAAAAAACATTGGCAGAATATTATCTCTCTCTCTCTTTTGGGGGGTTATGCTTGGTTGCCTCAGCAACCCCTTGGAAAGTTGACAGGATCTGAGCTCCTAAGCACCAAATAAGGTCAGTTGGTTTGGGGTGGGGGGAGATACACCAAAAAGGGGGACTTTTTCCCCCCAAACGGGCCGCCTCTGGAGATGGAGGTGAGTCTCAGGGAGGCAGAACACGGCAGAACCGGCAGAACCACGTGGTCTCAAGGAGTTTTGTGAAGCAGCAGGAGATGGAACACGCCTGCTGGGTGCCTCAGGGAAAAATACTGGAGAAGATCTACACTACTTCCAAAAAAGGAATGCTAAGGAAAAAACCGAAAGCTTGTGCTATGTAATCTCGACTCCGTTTCTGCTCTCAGCTCTTTGTGTTACATTTTAATAAGGGAAGGCAAAAATGACCCAGGAGAGTTGGAAGAGCTTGAATTGAGTTGCACCTGGAGGAGGAGAAGAGAACCTTCTCTTCAAGCATTAGATATTCTGGACTGGTCAACGTGACCTCCAAAAGCTACCTTTGGATGAGATACAACTGTTCCTCTGTCACTATAAGAAAGCGATTCCCTCGTCTCGCTCTTTCTCCCCACTCAAATAAAAGTGGGGAGAGGAATTGGTAGTTAGCTCCTCCTCCTCCTCCTACATACCATGAACCAATGGTTTGCTATGGGTGCAGTGTTGCCAAAAACTGTGCTGATTTTCAGCAAAACTGCTTGAAGTTCACTAATTCAATTTGTCCTGAGCTGCAACTCAGTTTGCTTTGTGTTGGGCTTGAAATAACAGCCAGGAGAGCGATATTGCCCGCTCTTTGTAAAGACTACATTTCCAGAAGACTATCAGAATAACAGAGTTGGAAGGGACCTTGAAGGTCTTCATAGTCCACTCTCTGCTCAAACAGGAGACCCATTTCAGACAAATGGCTGTCCAGTCTCTTCTTGAAAACCTCCGATGTTGGAGCACCACAACTTCTGGAGGCAAGCTGTTCCGCTGGTTAATTGTTCTTGCAGTCAGGAAATTTTTCTTTAATTCCAGGTTGCTTCTCTCCTTGGTTAGTTTCTATCTGTTGCTTCTTCTCCTCCTTCAGGTCCTTTGGAGAACAGCTTGACCCCCTCTTCTCTGTGGCAGTCCCTCAACTACTGGAAGCCTGCTGTCCTGTCACCCATGGTCCTTCTCTTCCCTAGAGTAGCCATGCAATTCCTGCAACCATTTTTCATATGTTTTAGCCTCCAGTTCCTTGACCATTTTTGTTGCTCTTCTCTGCATTCTTTCCAAAATCTCAGCAACTTTTTTATAGTAAGGTGACTAAACTGGATGCAGTATTCATCCAGTTTTGGCCATCATCAAGAGCTGCCTGCAGGGATCCTCCAGTATCTGAAGGATGTCAGGATCCCAGAATTATTTTTTGGGAAAGTCAACCCTAACTCAAGCCTCGACAGCACATCTACCATCCTTCTTTCCTTTCTTACTCATTGCCTTTCCTAAAAACCTCTCCTTCCTCTGTTGGCCTTCTCCACTTCCCCACACGACTTTCCAACAGAGCTATCTACATCTTTTGGGCAGCGTCACCTTGGATCCCAGCCTCCCCTTCTCCTTGGCCCCAGGTTTTCTGTCCATCTCCATCTCTCCATTCTGCTATTTCTAGACCTGAAAGGACCGGCTTCTGCTAGGAATAGAGCAATGTAGTCCATGACAGATGGGATCTTCTACTCTTATTCTGTAATCTTTGGACCAGATGCTGACAGAGTTGCTCCTGCTGCCAAATTCTTTGGCTGTCTTGAGAGTCCTGGAAGTTTTGCAGCTTCCTCTTTGGAATATTGTTCCTGGATTTCTCTGCTGTTGCCTTGACGTAGCTCATCCTTTGCATCAGCTAAATTTATGCTAGGGGAAATGAACTATTTGTAGGGCTTTGAGTTATGTCTTGTCGGAGTCTGAGCTGAGTTATTTTAGCAGACCTGCTGGGGAAGCAGATTGATTGCTAATTGTATGAATGTCAAGTCAAGTCTCTTCCATTTGGTCATTGACCAGCAAAAAATAGATCAAGAACATCTCCTTATACTTCTTGCCGGGAAGTGATAAGGCCTGACTCGTCCTAGCATCTCAAAGACCATCACTGCAAAGTGTCCACTTGACACAAGTCAACTTGAGGTCTCCAAGCTTCAGTGTTCATCATACGTTCTAAATTGCAGTCTTACCCCACAGTCCTAATCTACCAGGATAGTTCTGTCGATTATACTTAAATGTTGCTGCTTCAAATGGGCTATTGATTCTCATGGGGAGGACAAAAGAAGGGGAGAAACCTTTGTTGGGAAGAGATGGGAAGTATCGGCTGGGGAATTCTGGGAGTTGGCGTCCATGTATCTTAAAATTGCTAAGTTGAAAAAAATATTGATTTAGGAAGAGGAGGTGTGTTTGGTTTTTGCACCCAGCCAATTTGATTTGCAAATCCCTTCTAGGAAACCGGCTTCCATGCTGGGTGCGTGTTTAATTTTGAAAGCATTTGCAGCTTCATTGCAATGCAGAGTTCCCGAGGCAGTTTGCAGGATGAATTAAAAGGCACTTTTCAAACGGCTATTGAGTTTGGAGGCGATGCTAACCACAGAAGCAGCTGAAGATCTTGGCGCCAAAAGGGCGAAAACTGGGGCCATCGCATTGAACAGTGTAAAAAAGAAAACCTGGAGAGAGCATGAACGTTATGTGGTTGATCTGAGCCGGTGTGAGACAAAAATACAAGCTGTTGCAATGGGGTTGCCCACCACTTTCTTTTCCCTCCAGGAGCCTGGCCCAGCGAAGGTGGCCGTGACCAGCAGCAGCATCCCTGGCGCGGAGAAGATCCCCACCACCAAGTCCACCCTTTGGCAAGAAGAGCTGAGAGGCAAAGACCAGGTGGATGGGAATGTGGGCATCAGCTCGGCCCCTGGCTCTCTGCAAGGCCAGGCGCCTCCAGCGTGTTCCTTGAAGGATTCCATCCTGGAGAGCAAAGAAGGTAAGAATGGAGTCCTGAACGTTGGTCAAACCAGAGGGCAGGGTAGAAGATCTGGGATCCACAATGTTCTTAATTTTTGTCATCTGATCCTTTATCTCTGCTGTCTGGAGCTCTGGGCAAGACATAAGAAGACAAGTTGCTTCTTCTAAGGCTTCCTGGTGTCCTCATTCCAGGGTTATGACTGAAGGGAACTGGGGTCTTTGCCAGAAAACAAGATAAGACAAGTTACGGACCGGCTCGGTTGCAAAATCAGCAACTTTGAGAAGCTGGTGGGACCTAATTCAGGTGGCTTCAGGTGCGTCCAAAGAACAGGACATTCTCAACAACTGTTTCAGAGTAACACTGACCTTTGTATTGCAAGAATTCAAAGAGGACTCTACCTGTGGACATACAGGACTTCTCGTGAGGATCTCCCTACACTTAGGATGGAGGTTGGGTTTTCTGAGGATAGAATTTGAACCTCAGCATTTTATTTACTAGAGGTGTTTCCGAATCTTGAATAATTTTCCCTACCTGCAAATACTTGCCTGGGAATAAACAGGGACATTTCTAGATTTATCATGTCTTGGTGGATCCTCTAGGCCAACGTTTCTCAACCTTGGCAGATTGAAGAAGTTAGGAAGATGCCCTCACCCCCGTGCCCCAAGTGAAGAGAGGCCAGTTCTGTAAATTTAATAGAATAACAGAGTTGGGAAGGGACCTTGAAGGTCTTCTAGTCCACCCTCTGCTCAAACAGGAGACCCTATACCATTTCAGACAAATGGCTGTCCAGTCTCTTCTTGAAAACCTCCACGGTTGGAGCACCACAACTTCTGGAGGCAAGCTGTTCTGATGGTTAATTGTTCTTGCAGTCAGGAAATTCCTCCTTTGTTCCAAGTTGCTTCTCTCCTTGGTTAGTCTCCATCCGTTGCTGCTTCTCCTACTTACAGGTGCTTTGGAGGATAGGCTGACCCCCCTCTTCTCTGTGGCAGCCCCTCAAATATTGCAAGACTGCTATCATGTCACCCCTAGTCCTTCTTTTTGTTAGACTAGACATACCCGATTCCTGCAACTGTTCGTCTCTTTTGCTCTCCTTCTCTCTCAACCTCTTCCTCTCTTCTCTTCCATGCTATCCTCCTCCTTCTCCTCCTCCAGAGGAGGCTGCGGTGAATGGCGACCGCAGCGACTGCGGGCGGAAGACGAGGGTGGAAAGTGGCTACTTTTCCTTGGAGAAGACCAAGCAGGAGGTCAAGGCAGAGGAGCACCAGATGCCGAACCTGCCCTCCCCGCCAAGCCCCTGCACACCCAACCACAGGTACGGTGACCCCAAATCTCAGCAGCCGAGCGCTTCCTTTCCTTCTTCAGGTACCTGGCCGGCCGGCCGGATGGTGCACAGTTTCTCTCTCAATTCCCTGGATGTCAGAAGCTCCCGGCTCTCCAAGCACAAGGACTCCGCTGGCCGCAACGGGGTGAGGACAGAGGAGAGACGCAACGGCCCCTTTGCCTTTAAAGTCAGCCGCAAATACTCCACCCTGGCCGACGTGCCCAAGGCGATTCGGATCAGTAACCGCGATGCTTTTCAAGTTGAGCGGAAACGGATTGAGCGGAGTTCCCGAGCGCGGAGTCCCGGACGGGAAGAGGTAGCTCGGCTGTTTGGGAATGAAAGGAGGTAAGACCCAAATCCGGGTGTGGCTTTTTGACAGGCGGAGGAGGATGAAACTGTCTTTTGGAAGGGAGTTTTTGCCCTGAGAGAGGTGATGGTTGAACTGGGTTTCAGCCCTTCCACAGGTAGTCCTTGACTTACAACCACAATTGAGCCCAAATTTTCGGTTGCTAAGTGTGATGGTTGTTAAGTGAGCTTTGCCCCATTTTACGGCCTTTCTTGCCACAGTTGTGAACTGAATCACTCGCAAAAGGGGATCACGTGATTTGGGGACACTACGACCATCATAAATGTAAGTCAGTTGCCACAGTGGCCTAGAACAGTGTTTCTCAACCTTGACAATTTTAAGGCATGTGGACTTCAATTCCCAAATTGTCAAGGTTGAGAAACACTGGCCTAGAAACTTGCTTTAGGAAGGAAACTAAACCATGCATATTTTTGAGATAATAGAGGCCAGGAACTCCCTTCCTTCGTTCTGTTGAATATTCATAGGAATTCATAAGAAACATCTCAGAAAAGGAGCCAGAATATGCAAATTGGAGGATTGTGAGCATATGCTCTTCCAAGAGATAAAAGAGAATTTTTCTCCAGTTGCTTTTTTAAACCTCCACCAGATCCGGCTTGCTCATAACAGATGTCTTGCACCAGCTGAAGAACAATCCTTGTTCTTTTTTCCAGAATTGGCTAGCAAGAAACCCACAAATGAGGAATAAAAGAGATTTCACCCCTCACCAGTCTTCAGAGGGTCTTGGTGGTTGATGAAGCTTGTGTAACCTCCAGGTGGCTTCAGACAGACCTTTTTTTCTTTGCCCTGCTGCATAAATAAAATCCCCTGCTATTAAATGAACATTTTCCTGTCTTCCTGCCGATCTCCATCCATTGCTTTGGGCTGCTTTAGTAACTTATTTCTCTGACTGCTTCATTAACATTCTTGTCCATCCTTGAGCGGAGTTCCTTGTCTGGGAACAAAACACACTCTGTAACCAGCACTGGCAAGTCTTCCTATAATCCAACTTGATGTCCAGGTTGAAATAGAATACAGAATAACAGAATAGCGGAGTTGGAGGGACCTTGGTGGTCTTCTAGTCCAACCCCCTGCTCAGGCAGGAAACCTTATATCATTTCAGACAAATCCACCCCTTGAGACCATCCTGGTCTCAGATAATTCCTATGGATCTTCCAATAATATTCACAAAAACCAACTGATTGGGGGAACTTTCTGAAGGACTTCATACCCGCTCCTGTCACTCTCGGTGTCCTCTGTTCATGTTCTGAACCTTTTCAATTTACCAATTTATTCCAGGTCATCAAGGAGTAAATGGGACCTAAAGCTGCACTTTTCCAATTGGCGAGTGTGTGTGTGTGTTTTAAAGGCCAGAGTAACAGACCTTTTGAGCAACTTGACAAGGGTATCTTGCCCAGGACTACTAATAGCAAAGACGTTTTGCAAAGGTTGACGCCCTGATTGAAGAGATGTTAGATTATCTGGAGTTACAGCTAATGTTGCTGCCTTCTGTTTCTCAGCTTCTATTGCAGAGCTAAAATCTTTCTTTAAGGATGGAGGTTTATAGCTTCCACCTACATCTTTATACAGGTAGTCCTCGACATACGAGCACTATTGGTCAACAATTGCTAAGCAAGGCATTTTTTAAGAGAGTCATGCCTGATTTTTACAACCTTGTTGCCCACTGCAGTTTTAACTGAATCATATGGTCATTAAATGAATCCAGCTCCCCCCCCCCAATTGTCTTTGCTGGGAAGGTCGCATATGGCGATCACATGATCCCTGAACCCTGGTCCCATTATAAGTCACTTTTTTCAGTGCCGTTAGTAACTCTGAATGATCTCTAAACAAATGGTTATAAGTCAAGGACTAACTATATCAGTTTTTTGCCCCAGTCAAAGACCATGCTGGGTGTCTAAAAGGTGAGGGAAGATGGTTCTGTGTTTGAGTAGTAAAAAGAACAATAAGATACCTGTTCTGTGGTTTGCTGCATCTTGAAACTTTGCAAACTTTTAAAAAATATTCATGAATGCTGCAATTTCTTTTTAAGCACTGGGCCAAAATTCCAAGTCGTACATAGTCCACAGTCGAATTTGAAATTTCCCCACTTGAGTATACTGTAAACATGCTTGTCTCCCTTCTTGAAAAGCTGTTGCTCAAGACTTGTGCCCTGTGAAATATTTAGAAATATTTAGATTTTAGTTTTGAAGTATAGATTAGCTATGATGCTGGAGATGTACTGGACGTATTTGCATTTACGTGCGTAAAACACACGTCCCTGGGAAAAGCATGAGGAAGCTGGGAATTCCTGTAACTGTTTCCTAACCAAGTTCTCAACATTTGATGTTGATACGGATTTGCGTCTGTTAAACTAGACTGAATCCTGTTTAAATGGGAGCAAATCCCAGATTCCCCAGAATGAGAAAGATTAGACCAAGAGACATCTATCCCTGTTGATGACCCAAAACATTTCTTTTAGCAAGTAGGTTTTCTACTTCTAGGACATAAAAACACTGGAATGTTCACTTAATTTCATACTTCAGTAGAATTCTTCTCCAAAACAGGACTTCTGAATTGTAATATGTTTTGGAGAGGAATTAGAGGTTTTGTGGAAGAGTTTGCATAACAGTTCTTTAATTTATGAATTAACATGTGTTTTTCACAACTTCTGTGTACATATCCCTGACCAGCAATCTAGAAACCCCAAATATAGCTAATCCTCACTTAATGACCACTTAGTGATCGTTAGAGGTTACATCAGACCCCTCAAATGCTACTTATGACCGAGTTCCAGAGTTCTGATGTCTGCACGCCCTCCTGTGGTCACACAGGCTTATTTCCAGTGCTTTACAACTGGCTCACCTTTACCAGGTGAGGGTCCTGTCATAAGGGTGCCTCGGCTTACGACTGTCATGACTTAGGATGGAAATTCCAGCTCCATTACAGTCATAAGTCGAGGACTGCCTGTATTTGTATGGAGAGTTGGACCGTTACAACTGAGTGTAGAAACATGTCTTCAACCATGAGGCTTCCGTTGTTATTGCAGCCAATTATTGACAAATAATTTCAACAGGGCTGTAAATCTCATTGACTGGTACAAGTAATTTTCAGCTTAGCAACCGCTGCAGTCAAGGTCATAAGATTGGACATGGTCATGCGATGACCCTTTTAACAACCGGCGTAACTTACAATGGAAATTCCAGGCTCAATTACAGTCGTAAGTCGAGAACTATCTATATAGGATGTAGAAATCTTCCTTTCTAGCCTTATGGTCACACAGGGAGCACACGAGTGTGTTGAAAATACAAAACCAGGCAGAGAAATTCCGTCAGGAAGATTTCACGTAACTCCTGGTCTCCGCCTACTTCCACCACTGAAACTAAGACATGCTCTTAAAAAAACATATTTTCCTTTTTCCTTTGAGGTAATTGAGTCTTTGTTTATTTATTTATGCATTCCATCCATTCATAATTCATCAAATTTATACGGCTGCCTGTCTCATGAAAAAATAACTCTGGGTAGCATTGAACAATTCTCTCTGAATTGAATTTGCATAAATCCATCCCTTTGATCTTCGGGCTATTGATTTTCCGTCCTCATTCCCATCTTCCTGCTTCTTAACAGATCAAAGAAAGAAAACATGTATAGTGGAAAGCAAATTGTTGTTCATCATGGTTTTTCTTTCTGGCTCTTAACCCCTCCTTTCGCTGAGCTGCCTTGATCATTTCAAAGCAAAGGGTATCCAACCTGGGCAACTTTAAGACTTGTGGACTTCAACTCCCAGAATTCCCCAGCCAGCGCATGCTGTAGAGCCTTAAAGTGCGAACAGAGCCATGCTGGCTGGGGAATTCTGGGAGTTGACGTCCACAAATCTTAGAGGTGTCCAGGTTGGACACCCCTGTTTTTAGAACATGGTTCACTGCTGCAAACTAACCTCAAAGAGAAACAGCAGCATCTCCTTATCACTTCCACCTACCCAACCGGCTGCCTTGCTTCCAAACTAAAACTGTATCCTCCTGTTTCTAAATTCCACCTGAAATGGAGGGCTGAGATTGAGCGTCCAGAAAAGGTGTTTTTCCACCGAAAAAATCTGACAAGGAAATCCTTACAGTTGCAAACTAGAAGAGACAAAGGCTTTAGGTTTTCTAGCAAGGAGCCCAGAGCGGTAGGGCGTTCTTCCAAGCAAAGACAACGGCAGGAAAGAAACTGGAATGGCAGAGAAGTAATTAATGCCAAAAAAGGAGCTAATTTTAGCCCCCCAGTTATCAATTAGGAATGATTCCATCCCTAATTGTTAAACTTTGTGGACACTGATTGGCAATGCACCCCACGTTTTATCCTTCCTTACAGAGTTAAAATTGGGGGGGTCTGGGTACCCCAGCCTGGGTCTTGGGGGTGTCAAAACCAACCAGGCCAGATAAAAAAAGTGGGGAGTCTTCAATGCCTTTTTGCCTCCAGTATTTGTGGGTGTTCCGTCACTGGAGCTTTTTAGGAAGAGATTCGACAGCCATTTGCCTGGAATGGTCTGGGGCCCCTTGCTTGAGCAGGGGGTTGGGCTAGAAGACCTCCAAGGTCCCTTCCAATTCTACTATTCTGTTGTTCTTGCCACCATTCTTCCCATGATACCTGGAGTAACCACTCACAGTGGGAATGGCACTCTGCAGTTTCCAGTGATCACTTCTCTTAATGGTGTGGATGATTTTGCATTTTGGTTTTGGTGTTGTTGTTTTTTTAAATAAAAATCTCAGAATGCCTCTGATTTGGGGGGCAGGGTGGGGAGGGCAAGAAGGGAAGATAACCTTTTTTTTCATTCATTGTCCAGCTTTTATTTTCTTGCAGGTCTTCTGTTCTTCACCTCCCTCTGCTGTGTGATAACTTGTGCTCCGCTGCTTCGCTCCCATCTCATCTCAAAAAAAAATCTCAAGCTGTTGACAACTTGGTGGTGCCCTTCCCTTTCATGACAATCAAGCTGCTTTTCATTTTTGTGGGGGTGGGGTGGGGGTTGTGGTTTGGAAAGAAACCAGACCCGTGGGCTGAGCCAGATGGGAAACAGTGGCCGAGAATTTTCCCTTCCCCAAAGGGAAGCCGAGATGGGTCTTGGCACGGAAACCAAGCAGTGGCCATCGGTCTTAAAATTATGGCGAGGGTTTGAGGGCAGAGGACTTGAAGGGCAGGGGTCCCAAAGGGTCTTTTAATGATGATGATGATGATGATTTTGCCTTCCCTGGTCAAGGGCCATGGGTGCTGGGGGCTCTCACTGCCGGAGGCATCTTGGTGGGGGTGCGCTTAGTGCTTCTTCTCTCTGCATGTGGCATGCGGTGATTTGGGTTCTGCCTTAAAGGGAAGCTGGGCACAGCCCCCGGGGTCTGGAAGAGGCTGGTAGTTCAACAGGGTTAGCTTTGGTAGACAGCAGCATGGAAATGATTAGAGTAGCTTCCCAATCCAGATTCTCTTAAACTGATGGCTTCTTATACATGCTGCGGCACAGATGCAGTTCCCTGTGCTAAATTTTATTTTACTTTATTTTTGTTTATCATTTTAATTAACTTCATTTTATTATTTTAGTTCACTTTACTTCATTTTACTATTTAACGTTACTTCGCTTCATTTTATTATTTAACATTACTTCATTTTATTATTTTGCGTTACGTCACTTCACATTATTATTTTATGTTTCTTCTCTTCCTTTTATTATTTTATTTTTATTATTATGCTGCCCATCTTCCCTACAGGGTGACTCTGGGCGGTTTGATAAAACTAAACCACTGTAGGAAGTCCTCGATTTACCACAGGCCTCTCCAAGGGCTACTTAAGGCCTGGATTTGAACTTCCGATGGGATTTTAAAATGCCCTTCTCTGTTTTGGAGGCACAGAGCTTGAAATCAATTTGGTTTTAGCTCTTTTCTTTCTCTTCCATGTTTAAAGTCCAGGTTGACCCATGTTGACGTTGATTCATAGGTAAACCAAGGCTGTGTATGACTTTGTGAAGCTTTTTTTCTGAATATTAAAGTGTAACTGTTGGCTTGCGAAGCTTAGCACTGAATTATGTTCATTAAGTAGCTGCTCTGTGGTGGGATTCATGCCATATATTCATAGAAAAGATAATAGATTTGAGCTTGCTGCCTTAAATCTGCAAGAAAACTCAAAGAGATCACCCCACTGACCCCATTTTCTGAGGACGTTTTTGAGGATGTGATCACTTTGTCACATAATTGTGCTTTTAAAAGGAGAAAAAAATTGACATATTTGCAAGCTTTAAAAATCCAAATGCTCCAGATGCTTCCCGCTGAATGAAACGGGCTGGTTCCGGTTTTGGGTAATGTGCCCCTAAGTTGAGAAATGCTTCAGGCTTTCAGATCCCTTCTAGGTTACTAATTTTTATTTATAATTATACGATTATTTCTTGGGGTTTTTTTCTCCCCATCCAATGAGTCTGTGCAATAGGACAGGACAGAAATATAAAAGAGGAAAGCATTGTTATGTCGATATTTTGAATATGTTGTCTGGATAAGAGGGAGGGCGGAAATTGTTCTGACTTTCAAGGGTGGTCTCTCCTCCCTTTTGTTAAAATTGCCCGCTCCCTTCTCTCTTCTCTGTCTCTCAGGAGGTCCCAAGTAATTGAAAGATTTGAAGCATTGGATATTGAGAATGTAGAACACATGGAAATCAATGCTTCCTCGGGTCTCTCCGGCGAAACTCGGCAGGGCAGGAGCGAAAAAAGGGTTTCCCCTCGGAAACGGGTGAGTCGGCAGCGGTCTCATGGTTTTGATATGAAGAGTGAGATTTACAGTGTTTGTCAACCTTAGCAACTTCAAGTCCCAGAATTCCCCAGCCAGTAAGACAATGACCGTGACAATCTGTGACCTCTTCATTATTAATCGAAATTGCAGTTCTGAGTCCAATGACCGTGAAACATTCATACTTCCTGCAGGATTTACTTGCTGAAACAGCAAGCGGGACCATCATGGACGTGTCAGCTTCTCCATTGTCTCCACACCGGAGAGCAAAATCGCTGGACAGAAGGTCTACAGAATCCTCCATGACTGTAAGTTCAATAATTTGGGGATTCTGAATAACGGAATAACAAGAGTTGGAAGGGACCTTGGACGTCTTCTAGTCCAACCCTCTGCTCAGGCAGGAAACCCTATACCATTCCAGACAAATGGCTGTCCAGTCTCTTCTTAAAATCCTCCAGTATTGGAGCATCCATAACGTCCTGCCAAGCAAAGTCAATTGGGGAAGCCAACCGCGTGATTTACCTAACAACCAGAGCAAAAAAAAAAGGTCATAAAATTCACCTAACATCCACCTTGCTTAGTGACAGAAGTCCCAGTCCCAGTTGGGGTCACAAGTTGAGGACTACCCTGAGTAAAAAATAGACCCATTCTTGAAGGAAAGTTGCGTTCAAAGAAGGGAGCCGAACTCTTCAGAAAAAAACAGGATTTCTTTTATATATTATATGTAATCTAAGCTGAGATGAGGGCAAGGATGCTAAATTCTCTTTGGTCCTTTGTAGCCAGATTTGCTGAACTTCAAAAAGGGATGGCTGACAAAACAGGAGGAAGATGGGCAGGTAAGTTTTGGGGTGCTGTTGTCCCAGGTAAACCACAGTAGATGGGGTTGCACCTTGGAGATTGTAAACCTTGAGAACTGACCTCAAACCTGAAGTTATTTCTGCCTAGCTTGGATGCAAAAGTTCTCCTAGTTTTAGCGTAATGTTGGCAGAGTTCTGCCCAGTATAATAATCACACCCACCCACCCATCCCTACTACTTCTCTTTAAGAAACCATCTTAGGAAGGACAGATGTCTGTAAAATGGCTTGTCTTGTTTCTTTTTTAGTGGAAGAAGCACTGGTTTGTGCTGACAGATCAGAGCCTAAGATACTACCGGGATTCAGTGGCAGAGGAGGTAGGTTGAGGTGGAGACCAAGAACTAGGCCTTGCTGAACCCTTTCTGATGTTCATACCAGCTCTGTTTCTTTCTCTCCCACCACCTCCTTATAAGGAATCTGCTTTGATTCTTTGGGCAAAGAGGATTCCATCTTATATTTTGTGACAGTTCTATATAAAGAAATGTTATTGTACCTGTTTCGCCATTGACCTATACGTTGTCCTCTTATGCATTTCTTCTCTTTTTTCAGGCAGCCGATCTGGATGGGGAAATTGATTTGTCGACGTGTTTTGATGTCACGGAATACTCCGTCCAGCGAAACTATGGTTTCCAGATCCATGTAAGAAATAGTCAGACTATACATAGAAAGGGTAGACATCTTCTGAATAAGGATCTTGAGCCCATCCCTTGTGCAAAGGAATTATGGATGATGAGACAGGAGGTCATATAAGTCCTGTAAATTAATTAATCAATGGGGCAGAGTTGGTTTTCCTTGTTGCAGTTGTTGTTATGAGACCCAATTTATGGATGAATAAGTTGCTCAGGCTGTGAAGTTCCCATCTCCTTCAAAAGGTATCCTAGGCTTCAGAGGGAACACCTGGTCCAAACCCCTCCTACCACCAATGACCCATCTGGAGAACCATTCAATATATGGTCTATTACTATCTGAAGTTGGGTGAATGTTCCTGGTTCTGAAAAGCAGAACCAGAAAAGGACCCATTCTTTCTGTTACTTCTTCTGAAAATTCACTTGAGAAGCTACCTTAGGAAGATGGAAACCTCAGCAGGAGATCTGAAGAAACTTCCTCCCAGAAACATCTGTTGTAGAGAGAGGCTCAACCATCACTTTTTCCTCTTCTTTCGTAGACTAAAGAAGGCAAATTTATTCTTTCTGCTATGACATCTGGAATCCGCCGGAACTGGATCCAAACCATTATGAAACATGTTCGTCCCACAGTCGCTCCAGACGTGACCAGGTAAAAAAAAAACATGGAAAACAAGAATGTTTGGTCTTCTTTCCTAATTATCTTCATCACATTTCTCCACAAATCCATTTACCTCTGATTTCTCTCTCTTCCACTTTCTGAAAATTATTTTTGAGACTGGTTTTCTGAGAGTTTTGATTTTTTGCACAATTTCGTAAGGACAGCTTAATGCCTTATTAACTGATTTCTCTTTCCACCTTTTGTTAAACATGTAGAGTGATGGGAAAAACTAAGGTGGAGAAACTAAGAGGAACCTCAGTTTGAACCCTTGTTCAGTTACATTGCTCAGGGGACCATATCAACCTAGTTGTTTTTCACATGAGTGAGCTTTTAGCACACTGAATACAGATGTAATTAACCGCACTTCAGCCAGTTTCAACTTCAGGGCAGTTGCTGCACAAATGTTAATTTGCATTAGCAATAGTGTGCATCATCTTCCAGTTAGGACCTTTCCTTCCCCTAAATGAAGGGTGTATGTTGTCCCCAAGTATGAATCTACAGTAGGTCCCACCTTGTCCTTGATCCACAGTAGATCCAACCTGTAGGTCCTTCAAGAAAATTAAAGAGCCCCAAGTTAAAACCTTGGTTTGACAGCACTTTGTAATAATTTGGCTTCAAATGTGGTAGCAAGGTCTTCCTTTCCTATTTTGTTATTTGCTTGTGTAAAAAGAAGAGTAGCACCACAGCGAGTACTGTATCTATGGTGTAGTTGTGAAGCATGGAATGTTGCTTTTAAAAAAGGGTTTCTCAAGAATGGCAACTTTAAGATGTGTAGGCTGGCTGAGAAATTCTGGAAGTTGAAGTCCACACATCTTCAAGTATGGTGGCTGGGGAATTCTGGGAGTTGAAGTCCACACGTCTCAACATTGTCAAGGTTAAGAAAACCTGCTTTAAAGTGGTGTGTGAACAGACATAAGGATCTGGGGGCAGACAGCTCAGCCCAGAATTGCTTTCCTTCTTCTCTGTCCCTCCTCCATTCTGTCTCTCCACGCTTCTCTCCCCTCTCCTCCAGTCTCTCGCCTCACTCCTTCATATGTTTAATTTCCACGCACACGCAGGAAAAGCTTCTCTTTGAAGTTATCCGTGCTGAAGCCAAGGTTGGAAAACTGTGTTCTCTCCTGTATTAACGTTTTGTGGTTTGTATACCTCGTGATTCACTGCATGTTCCTCTTTCTTTGCTGCACTTGTCTGGATTAGAAACGCCTGCTTATTTTGCTCAAAAAAGCAAGGAGGAGGGAGAGAGGGAAGTAGGATGGCAGGACTTAGTTGCAGACTTAGTTGCAGAATTTCCGTGGTGTCGTTTACTGCCCTCACCAAGGGGGCCTTCTGGGAATGCAGCTGAAGGACCTTCCCTTGGAGGGACAACAGCTGATCCTATAGCCAGAACCTGGAATAGATCAGTAGATTTGTAGTAAGTTTGTAGGATTTCTTGCAACATCTCTGCTCAGTAGGCATCCGTGCAACCAAAGAGTCTCCCAACCAGAGTAGTAAGCAAATGCTTCTTTGTGCCTCTGAACCACAAAGTTGGGTTCATAAGTAGAGGGACCTCTAGGCATACCACTAGTTCTTTAAATCAGATACTCAAGTCCCATGAGTAGATGTCTCTGAAATTACTTCAGGGGACATGTGAAAATAAAGTATCACCAGGAGAGAATCTATGAGTTCAGGGTTGAACTCTGGAGTCCTTGGTGCTCTCTGAGCTTGGTTGTCTACTTGGAGACATTTCATTGCCCAAGTATGGAATATCATCAGTCTGAGTGAAGGTAGAGCCAGTGTTTTGTAGAAGTTGGATAGTTCCTGTCATCGGACTTAGATTGAGTCATTGTTGGGCAGGTGAGGAAGACTGAATGTGGGGAAAAGGTAGGCTCCAGAAGAGTAGTCAGCGGTCTTCTAGTGATCTTCTGCTTGATAGTGATACTAGACTTTTCTTTACATCCTAAGTCAGTGTTTCTCAACCTTGACAATTTTAAGGCATGTGGACTTCAACTTCCAGAATTCCACAGCCAGCATTGCTGGCTGTGGAATTCTGGGAGTTGAAATCCACATGCCTTAAAATTGTTAAAGTTGAGAAACACTGTCCTAAGTATAAAATGATCTACAGTAATTTGAGTTTTTGCAGAGGTGAGATATCCTTGGGTGCTGAAAATAAATAGAGAGCCATTCTAGAATATAATCCATTGAGACCATGCCTTGAAAAGGTGACATGGAGAACCTACGCTAGTCCACCCCAATGAGTAATGGGTCATTCCGACATCCTCCACCAACTTTGTGGTCTCTTCCCATATTTTTCTACTCTATTAATGATTAAAATCAACCTGGAATTCTTTGTTGTGAAGGAAAGTTGCATTTGATCGCAACTACTGGCTGTAGACCAAAAGCAATTTTGATATGAGTTAGGCTGCAGTTGCCAACATCTCATAAAAAGAGGGAGTGGTGTTTCCACAACCTTCAGAAGCTACAAGAGATAGCCAGACTCTGGGCTCATCCTGAAAAGAAAGCAACGTATTTTTCTAACTCACTCATGTTTCCAACTAGTAGGGATAATAAAAACGGTCTATGGCTAAGTTAGGGGAATGCAGCCCTAGAGTTAAATTATTATGTTGTTTTAATTTTAAGTCTGCCCTGTAATTGTGCACGCTGGAGGCTGGCATGTGTTCCGTTGTGTGACAAGCCCCCATTTCCAGCATCTTCCAAAACCTTTTCCTTGCCTGTCTCTGCCTGTCTGTCTCTCTCCCCTTCCGTTTTGACGTCCACCTTGGCAGTGAGCACCGCAGCTTCCCTTGTGTGAGCACCAGCTTGTGTTAGGCCCTGTGCTGGTTCTTGTCTTGGAGAAGAAGCCATACTGTAGCCACCCCTCTTCCCTTTCACTGCTAAATGGAAGCCTGGGAAGAAATGCACACACACAAAAAGCCATTTGATGCATACAACAAAAGCTTTTTGGAGAGGAAAGGAACAGCATGAGAGGAATCTAGGTCTTGTGTATCTCTGTAGGATAATATATCTAGTTTGTCCTTGAAGGTTGTTCTTGGTGCAATGGAGATTTCCTGGTTGAAAATGGATGCCCAAGAATGGGGCATGTTGTAAACAATACAGAATGGGAATCTGCCAGGGAGTTGCGCAGCCAGTATCCAAATGGAGTCAGAGATGCTGACGTGAACTTGTAGCTTTATATAAATAAATATATTTACAGCACATAAGATAATCAGGCAAGCAGGAGCATCGTCAGGTAAATCAACACAAGAGGAACATCCTGAGGTAAATTGCAGACCACACAGAGGAAAAAGGTGGGAAACAAGGAAACTTTCCCTTTACAATCACAGCTTAGATTGCCTCAGGCAGTGGCCAGCTGTCTTCAACCATTTAGCTGTACTCATTGTCCAACTTTTCACTGCGCCTGCTATTAAATTAAATATCTTAACAGGGTCCCATTTTCCTAGATATATTCTGAGGGGTCCTCAATTTTATTGCCTAGAATGCTTCAAGTCATGCTTCTGTTATTATCAACTGAAGTCAGCTAGACGGAGAGGACCTTGCCTCCTTCTGTGGGGTGTAATGGAAACGGAAAATTCTTTCCTGGGTCTCAAACAAGGTCTTCTTGGGGTAAACTGCCCTCTTCTTGACCTGCTCAGCAAAAAAAAAAAAAAAGCATTTAATGAATGACTTCATTGTAATGCTGGTGAATAATGATGCTGCTGAAGCTCACAATAGCTTTGTTATGAGCATAAATCTCGCTCTTTTCAGGAAAAGTGAAGGAGAAAACAGTTAAGGAACATTTGCAAAGAGCAGGGAAAGTAAAAAAGGAGAGAGGTCAACACAACCTAAAATAAGGTGTCCATCACAAAAAGCAGAAGCAGGTTACTAAACACTTAATATCCCTTTGATCAGGATATTTTAGGCTGTTTTAGCTTTTGTGATCTGCTTGGACTGTAATGTTCATTTGAAGATAAATCTCTGTTTTATGTCTGTTCTGAGTTCAACATTATTACTTTAAAACTTTTTATTCTGGCTCCAAACATCAGATAATTGCCTTAAGCCGATTTTGATGCAAGTGAATGGGTGTGACCAGGGCTTGATCTGGTTGAATGTCAAAAGTTTACCTCTTGCAGAATTGGAAGAAGAATGGAAACTGTACACCAAAAGTCATGAACAATTAATTGTATTATAAGGACAGGAAAAGCTTCCAGTTCTGTGTCAGTAGGAAGGTAATCAGCCAGATCTTTGCATTGTCAACCCTGTTCTTAAACCAAAGGATAGACAGATTCTTGTATATGATGTCAGAATAACTCTGTTTCTACACAAATTCTACACCTCCAATAGTTTTGGCCTCCGGTGGTGTCTTCCTGGAGTAATCGGAGAAGAACATAAGGATGAAAAGTTGGGTCCATGTCTAATTTGCTTCTGCTTTCCTTTCTTCTTGAATCGTTTCTTACCAGCTCTTTGCCAGAGGAGAAGAGCAAAAATGGAACCTCCTTCGAGGCTTGTCCCAAGCCAAGTGAGAAGCAGGAGACAGAGCAAGCCGAGATTGACCCCGAATACAAGCGCAGTCGAGCCAGGGAACGGCGACGAGAAGGTCGCTCCAAAACCTTTGACTGGGCTGAGTTCCGCCCCATCCAGCAAGTCCTGGCTCAGGAGCGAGCCAATTTGGCTGAGACTCTGAAGGACACTTCCACTCCGTTTCCCAAGGAGCCCGGCCCCTCAGAGACAGACCCCGGGGAACTGGAGCGAGAACGGGCCCGCCGAAGAGAGGAGCGAAGGAAGCGCTTTGAACACCTGGATGCTACTGATGGAGGAAGCCCAGAAGACTTCTCCAGGATGGAGGTGGATAGGGTTTCAGGGTTGCCTGCCACTTCGGAGGCCAAGCCCCAAAGCGTCCATGTGGAGATTGAGCAGAGGTGGCATCAGGTGGAGACCACTCCTCTGCGGGAGGAGAAGCAGGTCCCCATTGCCCCGCTACATCTTCCTCACCCAGAGGAGAATGGAGAGGCGCTCCATAAGCAGCAGCTGACTGTGCTGCTGGAAAAGGAGGTAATGTGGGGGGGGGAACAGAGAGAGGAAGGGAAGGGGAGGGGAGGGAGGGAGGAAGGAAGGAAGGAAGGAAGGAAGGAAGGAAGGAAGGAAGGAAGGAAGGAAGGAAGGAAGGAAGGAAGGAAGGAAGGACCACTGGAAACCCTAGTAGCAAAGTCACTTCTCATGGGCAGTTGTAAAGAGACCAAGAACACCCCCATTTCCCATTTTTCTTCTTCCCTTTTTGAACTTGTCCACTTTTGTTCAAGTTGGAAGCTCTTGGGGCAGGCAGCTCTTCAACCAAGTGGTTTTCCTTATTGAAAATACACACTCAAACCATGATCTAGATGTGGGCTCTTTGGGTCCCTCCCCATCCTTGTTTAACGCCTTCCATGTTGCACTTCCAGCTGGAACAGAGTCAAAAGGCAGCTTCAGAGCTCTTGGAACAGAACCGTGCCCTACAAGACCAGCTCAAAGTAGCTCTGGGACGCGAACAAAGTGCTCGAGAAGGTTACGTCCTGCAGGTAGGAGGGAGGAGACCAGAAGCTCGGTCTCTGGAACTCAGTTGGGCTTTGTGGGGCTTCAGTCCGGGATGCTTGCAAGTGGGCCTAGATTGATAGATATCACTAGCCAAACCTTCATTTGCAGAGGGCGATGCATGACGGGGTCAATGAATTTTGGGGCTCCCTTCATAAACCCGCCTCTTTCATTACAGTATATTATGAGCAGGTTGTGCCAGGGTCCTGAGTTACACACTGAGGGATAACATGGGTTCGTTTTGCCACAGCATCCGAAAGCTGCTGTGAGATGAAATACAAGTAATCCTCAACTCACAACAGTTCATTTAGCGACGGTTCAAAGTTACAACAGAACTGGGAAAAGTGATTTATGACCATTTTGCACACTTCCGACTGTTGCAGCATCCCTAGGGTCATGTAATCAAAATTCAAACGCTTGGCAATTGTCTCATATTTATGAGTTTTCCCAAATCAGGTGATCCCCTTTTGCAACCTTCTGATAAGCAAAGTCAACGGGGAAGCCCGATTCGCTTAACAACTGTGTTACTAACAAAACAACTGTAGGGATTCACGTAACAAATGTGGGAAGAAAGGTCATAAAATGGGGTAAAATTCACTTAACAATTGTCTCACTTTAGCAACAGAGATTTTGGGCTCCATTGTGGCCATAAGTTGAGACTACCTGTACCATTCTGATGAGGATAATAAAACGGCACAGAGAAAGCAATTCCTACTGAGGTTGAAGAAAAAGTCACAAGATAAGAAAACCCCAGTTTAGATGCTCAGAAAGAAAAAGTTTTTCCCCGAAAATTCCAAATTGCTTTTTCAATTGGGTCTGGCTCATATTTATGGGCCACTCGGTCAGATAATATATATTTCTAACTCTTTTGCATTTTTTTTCATCCTGATACAACTGAAAGTTGAAAATTCTCTTAGCAGGACAACCCCAGAAATGGACTGTTGTGTATTCTAGCTCAGAACAGTCCTAATCCTATTAACTTGGAGTAGTTTATGATTATGGCCTTTGGACCACAATCCCTTTGTTCAAAATAATAAAGTTTTTAGAAGGTAGACCAAAGTCATCAGTCAAAAGCTAAATTGTGTGGCTGACAAACTAGTGATATTGGCTGTATATTTTTCCTTTTTCCCTACTCTTTTTTTTAAAAAAAGAAATCTTGCTAGGCAATCCTGAAGGCAAAGCTCAAATCTGAAGCTTGTTGTGAGCTTTTTGACCCACAAGACAACATTTTTAGCCTGCTTTCTTTCCCGATTCGTGGTGTCCACATTGCAAGTTTTCCTCACATTGAGTCTTCAGGACCTGTCTAGAGCCAGGTTGCACGCATATTCTGGAATCTCTCACAATACAACTTTTCTTGTGTATCTCTTGCCTCAAGCCTGACTGCACTCTTCATTTTTAACAACAATGGCGCATGACTGGTTTTTCCTGCTTCTCTCCAGAAAACTAGCTTCTTTCGGGGTGAAGGTGTGGAGGATGACTCTACTAATCTTCCTTGGGGACAGGGCATTGTGCATGGGGGAATTGTTCTGCTGTGAAAGCATGTATCTGAGTGTCACATCTGTGGGCTGTCCCTTCCAGCCATCCCAGGACAGCGAGGCAGGGCTGGTGATTAGGCTGAACGCTGTGCTTCTTCTGTCTGTGTCTTCTCCATATCACGTGGCCTTCTTTCCCAACCATTGCACGAATCTCTGTTCATTCTTCTGTCTGCATGAGTCATGGTTTTCTTTTGCATCTCTTTGAGGATTCCTTCTTTGGACCTTTTGTTTATGTTTTCATCTTACCTCTGTCATTCCACCCTACTTCTCTTGACGTGCAGGCAGAATAAAGCCTAGGTAGACCTAGAACTTCAACATTAAAACTTCATTCTCACCTTGTTTTTGCTAGGAACATAAAGCATAAATGTTCTTCCCCCCCCAAAAAGAATAGGGGAGCTGGGGAGGGTGTCAGTTGTTGCCAGTTACACTGAAGGAATGGGGAAGGGACTGTGTGTGGATTTTGTGGGTTTCATGGTTCTTCTAGGACTTTATTAGGTGAAGCTTGGCATTATTATTTGCTTGCGAAAGATGCTAGATTTAAATCTGGATACCAGGAACACAACTCAGCCACTCCTGGATAGCGAAGCTTAGAGCTTTACCCAGTCTTGAAAGTTTGAGAGAACCTTGACAGTAACAAAAACCCAGAACAAAATAGGTATTTAATATTATTAATTAAAATTTGCATACCACCCAACTCCCAATAGCTTGGGGTGGTTCACAAGTAACAACATCCAAATGAATAAAACGGTGTCCTAATAAACAGCAATGAAGGACAGCAAACCAGACAGGAACAAAACCAAGCCTACACAATCAACAATCAAAAAAGGGGATTCAGTCACCCTTGCCAACGATCTGGGTGAAGATTCAACTCTTCAAGATCCTTCAAAACACCAGTAGAGTGGGGGGGGGCAACTGGATCAAGGAGACATTCCAAGGGAGGGTCTGATTCTGGTACTCATTTCTAGCTCAGCTTTGAACTCCCAAAATGAGATTTGTCAGATGGGTCTTTGCGAAGTTGCTCGCTGTTTCCGAGTGTACCGTTGGTCATCCCTTCCACCCCTCCAGTTTTCATTCTTTCTCCAATCTTTCCTCTACTTGTCTTACGCCATTATTTTTCCTGGTGTCCATCTTTTTGCCCCCCCTCTCTTTGTTTATTCAAGTTGTTTCTTTCAGGATTTTTTGTGTACAATCTGTTGTGATGTTTTATCATCCATGCTGTCTGTTACGTTGGAAGATGTTCTCCCTATTTTCCTGGAAACCAAAAAAAAAAAAAAAAATGGGGGAGGGGTGTGTGTTGTTTCTGGTCGTTTTTGAAAAACCAAAAATAAAAATTAAAAGGAGATCATTCCGAAAGAAGCTGAAAGGGAGCGATCATACCCATTCAACACATTCTATGGCCTAAACCTACCCAGAGATGTGACACTCAGAACCAGGGGCGAAGAATGCTACTAATTTTCTATTCAATTAATTTTCTTTTAAAGACTGAAGTGGCCTCCTCCTCCTCCTCCTCTTCCTCAGGGGCCTGGGAGAGGCTCCATAAAGTCAACAAAGATCTCCAGAGCGAATTGGAAAGCCAATGCCAGCGCCAGGAGCTGATCAACCAGCAGATCCAGTCGCTTAAACGTAGCTATGGGGAAGCCAAGGATGTCATCCGCCATCACGAAGCAGAGATCCAGAGCTTGCAAGCCAGACTCAGCAACGCGGCTGCAGATCTTTCCATCAAGGAGCAGACCTTGGCTAAGCTGAAGAGCGACCTCAAGGCTGAGAAGAAGAAAACTGAAGAGCAGATGGAGGAATGGCAACACAGTGAAACGACTCTGAATTCCCAGCTGAAGGCCAGTGAGCAGAAGCTGAAGAAGGCAGAGGCTCTCCTGTTGGAGAAGACCCAAGAGCTGAGAGATCTAGAGATGCAACAGGCGTTGCAAAGAGACTACCAGAAAGAAGTTCAACGTCTCCAGGATCGCATTGCTGACCTGAGCCTGCAGCTGAGTGCCGGCGAACAATCCCGAATGCTGATGGAGAAGAAGCTCCAGAAGAATTATGAGTCTTTGCTAGAAAGCTGCGAAAGGGAGAAGCAAATCTTGATTCAGAGCCTCAAAGAAGCGGAAGATAAAGCCAGCGAATATGAGAACCAGCTTCAGAATAATGAGCAACAGAAGGAGATCCTGCTGAAGGAGAAGCTGACTGCCAAGTTTGAAAGCAGTGAACTAGTCCATCAACTGGAGGACCAGCTAGAAAAGAAAGAAGCCAGCATCCAGAAGCTGGTGGAACATATCAAGAGTCTTGAGGAGGAAAGGGATCAAATTAAATGCAGGTTCCAAGAGTTGATGAACCAAGTTGCAGAGTCCGATAATGAGGTGGCTAAACTGCAAACCAAGCTACAGCTGGAGGAGAGTAGCTACCACACTCTGGAGAGTTCCTACGAGGTGGTGTCGGAGCAGTTCCATAATTTGCAGCAGATTTTGAAAGAGAAAGAGGAGGAGTTGAGACAAGTAAGAGAAACCCATTTATGCTTTGTGGAGAAAAAAGATCAGGACTTCCATGAGCCTCTTTTAAAACTAACTACTGCAGGTAGCAGTCGAGAAGAAAAAGAAGACCACCCGGCCAAAGAAGACGATTTGAAAACATCAGCTGAAGGGAATTCTATGCTGAAGGTTGCAACAAACGCAACTGATATTGGCAAGGTGGAAGATCCAGCACAAAATTCCTCAAAGCAAGGAAGACTTCCAGGTCTGGGATGCGTGCTTATTGATAATAGTCATGAAGGACCCAGTAGCAGCCAGAGGCAAATCTGTGGACATACTGTGCTGAGCATTGAAGAATGTTCTTCTCCATCAAAGTCAGTAGATCTTCCAGAAATAGAGATGGGTCAGAAAGATTCGATGAAACTTGATGCGGAAATACCAGGAGCCAAAAGACAAAGGATACGTTTCTCCAATATCCAGTGCCAAAAATATATTCATCCTGATGGATCAGAGAAGATGTGGGCCAGCAGCACTTCCTCTGACACGAGCCAAGAGCGGTCCCTTTCAGAAGAAAGTATGACTGCTGAACCAGCTTTTTGTTATCTAGCCTCGGGTGATTCTGAGACCTACTTATCTGTCATTCACTCCTTGGAAACCAAACTTTACATCACTGAAGAAAAACTCAAAGATGTAACCATGAAACTTGAAAGTCAGCAGGGCCAAAATCAAGATGCCCTTATGGTCCTTCACCACCAGTGGTCTGGCACTGAAGCTCAGCTTAGAGAACAGCTTCAAGACAGCTTGACTCAGATTAGAGGGTTGGTGTCACAGGTAGAATGTGAGAAACAAGAAAAATTCAAGCTGAACAAGAACCATCTCCATCAACTGGGCAAACTCCATGAAAAGACTAGCCAAGCATTAATATGTTTAAATCAGTGCAGAGAAGAGCTAAAACATGTGGGCACCTCTGAAAAAGAAAAAGAGGAAGAGATGTTCTTGGATGCTCTGTCCAGCATTGAAAGTACTTTAATGGATGCAATCCAGATGTTACAAAAGGCACTTCCTTCAGCTGAGCACCAACCAGAAGAACATCTTGCAGTCCAAACTTTGCAGACTAAAGACATCTGCTGGGATGAGAACAATGCTTCTCTCCAAGGGAGGCAACAGCTGGAATTTTCTGTACAAGAACAGCTGAGGTTGCTTTCCAGGAGGGTGGCTTTTGAAGCTTGCTTGATCAATCAGATAGCAGAGTCTTTGTCAGATGCCTCTTCAAAAATCTCAGTGACTCTCAGAGAGATTCATGCCACTCTGGAGACAGTCTTATTGGAGCCTTCAAATATTTTACATACTGCTGTGGCTTTAGCTGATATCTTGTCTAAGAAGTTGTTGTTGGAAGATGAGTTTTGGAGTCAGGTAGAAGAATTAAGGAAGCACTTGAGGGTCAAAGAAGAAAGGGAGGAAGAGAAGAGCGAGACCTTGGACTTTCCTCAGTATCTCATCCAGTCGGTTACAGACAGTGCACTGGTTAAAGCCGAACTGGGTTTTGTGGCTCAGAAAATGAGAGAATCCTTCCATCAGAGGCTAAAAGCCATGGAAGAAGACCTCCACAATGCCAAAACTGCTCTTCAGCAGCATAAGTGCATGTTGGAAGAAATCATTAAAGCCTACAAATCTCCTGAATTTGATGGGATTATGCACCAGATCTCCAAAGCTCTTGAGATCCAAGAAGGCACTTCAGAAGCAGCCCAACCAGCTTGGCACGTCAGCCTTCAGGAACGCATTTTGGAAGCTCATAGTGTACAGGATCTCAGCAGTCAAGCTCTGGCTGCTGTCCAGCATGATGTGGCTCAGCAGCTCAAAGACAAAGCCAACATTCTGAAAGAAATTGCTGCTGCCCTTCTGTCTGTGTCCCCTGACAATGCTTTGAAAGATTGCCACAAGCTCCTCAAAATCTCACGCAGTCCTCCTTACGAGATGTGCATGGGGGATCTTGAACACTACTCTTCTCTACTGGTCCAGGATGCAATTATTCAGGCCCAGGTTTGTTACGGGGCCTACAGAGCAAGGCTAGAGTACGCAAAGGAAGCCAAGGTGTACAAAGAGTCTCTACAAAACATGGATGTCTTATATCAGGAGCGCATACGGGCAGTCACCATCCTCAGAGAAGAGTATGAAGTAATGCTGCAGAAACAGCAGAACGAATTTGCTGAGATGATTGCTGTGCTCAAAAGAGAGAATGAAGACCTCAGAGCCAAGGTGGAGCAGCTGGACAACCAGCGACGACTCCTGGAAGAGGAAGAATGTAAGCAGAGCCAAAAAATTGCAGAACTTCAGAGCCGGTACGATGAAGAGATGCAGAAGGTTGTTGAGCAGCTCCACAGGACTGAGGACACCCTACGGGGGGAAAGAATTGAGGGGGGCCATCAGTTGGAGGCCCTTGTACAAGACAAGCAGAACCTGGAGAGATACCATATGGAGCAAATGGAAAGCTTAGAGGAAAAGTTCCAGGTCAAGATGAAAGAAATCCAGGTCCTCCATGATGAGGAACTGCAGATCTTGCAGGAACGCTACAACCAGAATATCAAGTGCTTGGAAGAATCGCTGGAGAAGTATCAGAAGAAGCCTCCTGAAACCTCATCCAGGATTGCCTCTGGTGCAGAAGCACTGGGAGAAGACCATCATAACAATGGAATCCAGGTCTTGCGAAATGATCCCAATGCCCTACACGGATTGAGGGAGCGGATTCAAGAACTGGAATCCCAGATGAACGTCATGAGAGATGAGCTGGAGAACAAGCACCTGGAAGGGAATGCACCCACCTTGAGGGAGAAATATCAGAAGGACTTTGAGAACCTTAAGGTCTTTGTTCATCTTATCTTGCTATGTCATGTGTGTCAATGCTCCTCATGGCCATGTAATCTGACCCCCTCCCTTGTTAAGAGCAAGCATGCTGATTAACCAGCTGGCTTGCAGGTAGAATCCAGAGGCGAGTGATAGAAGCTTTCTCAAAGCATTTCATTTTTTTAAAATGGCATCAGTTTAGCCTCCCTAAGGCCTTGGAGCATTTAAACCAGAATATGAGTTCTTGGGATTAGGCAAATTCCTTGACCCTTAGGGAACAAATTGGCCATTTTTTTTCAGCGCTGACTTCATTTTCTTGACATTATGAAGATCAAGTCACTGGGCAGTCCAGCTTAATCAAAGGTGACCTTCTGAAGATTAAGAGAGTTGGAGGGCAGTGTGCCAGGAAAGCTTCAATTTAAGATAACACCCTCCAAATTGAGGGTCACAGACTGTCCTTGGTGGTGGTGGTGGTGGTGGTGGGGTTTTCTGCCCCTAGAAAATCTGGCCCGTCGTTTCCCCCCCCCCACTACTACAGTGAGAAACAGGGTGCTTGTTGTTTCTCTCCATTTACTCTCCATGTCTAAAAATGACTAACTGGATTGGCATCATTGCATGTGCTTAAAATCTCCCCAACTACCTCCATTCACCTCCCATCAAATTAAGAAAAGAGCCGATTTTCCAATAATAAGGATTCTCATTTGAGATATAGGTTAACTCATAGTATTTCCTCCTGGCAAACTCTTGTAATTTCACTAGAGTGTAAAGAGGTGGAACCTGGTGACGCTCCTCTGGTTTGCAATAATTGCAAACCCTAAACAGGACACTTGTCTTTTTTTCCCTTTCATAACAACAGCACGGCAGCTTAACCTTAGGGAAGTGAGGCTCTTTGTTATTCACACCACACACAGACTGAACAATGGGCTGTGGTGGATTCCTGGGTATGAACAAGTTTGCAAACTAGACTTAGAATTTTTAGTCCCTGCAAGAGCGGTCTTTTCCCCCCCCAAGTTTGAATGCCCACATCCTTTTAGAACCTTTTCAGGGGATTCTAAAATAATACTTTATTAAAGCTTTGGGGCTGCTTCTTCCACTAGAGTAAAGATTGGTCGTGGTGGTGATGGAGAATGCTAGATGTTCTAACCTAGCTAGGAATTGATATTTCCTTCACCACATGGTTCTGTCACTCGAGTCTTTTCTGTTAGACACTTCTCTTTCTTCCTCCAGACCCGCCTCTATCGTTACTGGAGGGTTTTTAAATGGACATGGGCAACATGTCAGTGCAACCTTCTTTCTGATTTTCTTGAAGGCAACGTGTGAACGGGGGTTTACAGCCATGGAAGAGACCCACCAGAAGAAGATTGAGGACTTGCAGAGGCAACATCAGCGAGAATTGGAGAAGCTGAGAGAGGAGAAGGACCGTTTGCTGGCTGAGGAAACGGCCGCCACTATTTCCGGTAGGTCCAAGGGAAGAGAATGCAGAAAGCACGGAGATGTGTTTTTCCTACAGGTGTGTGTTGGTAGTCCTCAACTTATAACTGGTTGCTTAACCACTGTTCAAAGTTATGATGAACCTCCCCAGAGCTACATATGACCTGTTTTCAGTTACGACAGATACACAGACACAGACACTCTGTGCTCATGTGGCCATGATTTGCAATCTTTTTTTTTTTTTTTGCTGGTTTCAAGCGTTTACTTCCAGTTTCTGCTAAAAACTGCCCACTGGGGAAAAAATGGATTCACTTAACATGGCATTTGCTGACCACAACGGGGTTCACTTAATGACAGCTGCAAAAAATGTCTTAAAATCCAATCTGGCCAAATGATGCCTCAATTCCAGGCTCAATTTTGGTGGTCAATCAAGGACCGCCTGTAATTATCCCTTTCCTTTCCAGCCATAGAAGCCATGAAGAACGCTCACCGGGAGGAACTTGAACGGGAGTTGGAAAAAACCCAGCGCTCCCAAATTAGCAGCATCAATTCAGACATAGAAGCTCTGCAGAGACAATACTTGTAAGGATTTCTTGGCATCTTCTGGGGTTGGTTGTCCACGTCAAATGTTCTTTGCTTCTGGATCTACATTGGTTGGATTCCGCTGTGCATTGCTGGCATTTTGGATACTCTAAACTTGTACGCAACCTATGATCATTATCTGAGCATACACACACACAAAGGCCATCTTTCCCCCATCTTCTAAAGCTATCCAGATGGGGCGCATCGCTGTCCACAAAAGCTGCTAATGGCTCATTTTCCTTCTCTGTTTCTAGACTCCAAAATTCTTCTGTTTGTAGTACATTTTCTTTTTATTTATGAGCTGCTCCGTAAGCCTTTGGCTGCAATGGGGACATATTTTCTGCAAATATATGTGTGTGTATACATACACACATACCCTCATAATTTATTTTGAGGATGTCACGGAAGGGTAATAAACAGATTTATTCTCACAGATGCACCCCCAAAAAAATGACCTAAACTGAATTTATAGATTTGTGCTTTAGGAGAAATGAATTCCTCATGTCTGATTTGGACCATGCTCAGTTTCTAAAACTTTACAGATAATTTTTGGGAAAGTCAGTTAAGGCTTTTCTCAGAAAAAAAAAGTCCTATGTGTATGACCGTCCCAGTTTTCTGCTCTCTTCATCCATTCTCTGTACTTGATTTCCCCCACCCCATTGCCCAAAATTAATTTTGCAACACAAACCAGCAAGGAGAGAAGAAAACTCTACTAATCAATTCGTGGAATTTAATAAATACTGTGGTTTTTGTTTTTTTTCTTTTTCTTTCTTTCTTTCTTTCTTTCTTTCTTTCTTTCTTTCTTTCTTTCTTTCTTTTTCTTTTTTTTTTTTTTTTTGCTCTCCTCTCTTTGTACATTCTTGGAAGGGAGATTTTAAAAGTCTTAAATGAACAATAAGAGGAGAGGGAAGCAGGAAGGAAGGAGGGAGGGAGGGAGAGAGAGAGAGAGACAGAGAGAGAGAGACAGAGACAGGCCTTGGAAGGTCTGGGAGGAATCAAAATTTATAGAAAAGAAAAAAGAATGGAATGGAAAAATAGAATAGAGTAGAATAGCACAGTTGGAAGGGACCTTGGAGGTCTTCTAGTCCAACCCCCTGCTCATTTGAAGGTTCTCCTCTTCTGTCACTGGATGGATGTAGTTACAGCCTTCTCCTCCTTCCTTACCTTCTTCCTCACCTGCCAAGTTAATTAAAGTTGGTTCCTTCAGAGTCAAAGCCTCTTTCTGCTTTGTCCTGCCATCAGGGAGGAGTTGCAGTCAGTCCAGCGGGAACTGGAAGTCCTTTCAGAACAATATTCGCAGAAGTGCTTGGAAAACGCCCACCTCGCCCAGGCTTTGGAGGCGGAGAGGCAGGCCCTCCGACAATGCCAGCGGGAGAACCAGGAACTCAACGCGCACAATCAGGTGAAACTTTCTTGTGGTCTGAGACAATTGCTCTAAAGCAGTGTTTTTCGATCACTTTAAGATGGGTGGACTTCAACTCCCAGAATTCCCCAGTTCGCCATGTTCAGAGTTCCTGTATTTGGGGGGTGGGTGGGAGTGATGTGATGATACACATTTATTAACTCTGCATGCACATTGAGGTGAAAGATTCCTGTGTTCTGCAAAAATTGATGTAAAGGTTTCCTGTATTGGATGATAAAGTGGTGGTCTGTTGGCGTAATTAATTCTATTTATTTTGAATAATAGTGTGTAGTTTCCTCATAGGAGCTAAATAACCGCCTGGCTGCAGAGATCACCCGACTACGGACATTGCTAACTGGGGAAGGTGGCATGGAAATGGCCCTCTCTCCTCTCACCCAAGGCAAGGATGCCTATGAGTTAGAGGTGAGTTTGTTTATAACTGTTGAAAAGCTCAGAAATCCTTTCCATCCAAGTATCAAGAAAAAATATAAAAGGTGGATGGATATCCACCTTTTATATTTTTTCTTGATACTTGTTTTCTAAAAGGTGTATCTCCTTGACTTTCTCCCTTGCAGGTCCTGTTGAGAGTTAAGGAATCAGAAATCCAGTACTTGAAACAAGAGATCAGCTCTTTGAAAGATGAATTGCAAACAGCATTGAGGGTAAGAATTGAGATGCAGGCATCACCTTAAAGCTGTTAACAAGTGATTTAAACCTCCTCATTTGTACACCTTTGAGCTAGAGCAGTCACCTTTAAAACTATGCTTTAGATCAGGAGTGTCCAGCCTTGGCAACTTTTAGATATATGTACTCAGTTCCCAGAATTCCCCAGCTAACATGGCTGGCTGGGGAATTCTGGGAATTGAAGTCAATTCCAAGTTGCTGCTTTAGGTGATGGCCTAAGGCAGGAGGAACAGGAGGATGGAAAAGAACCAGACCAAAAAGGGACACCTTTAAGTGGAGATGACAAACAAAAATATGTGTTTTAATGAGATCCTGCGAAAGTTGGTGAACGCGTTGAACTAATGTCTGTTGAAATGACTAGTCATCCCAGTTGTCTCCTTTGGGTGGCCCAAGGAGACTGAAACTCCAATTGTCTTTTGTCTTTTCTCCAGGATAAAAAATACGCCAGTGATAAATACAAAGACATCTACACAGAGCTCAGCATCGTCAAAGCCAAGGCAGATTGCGACATCAGCAGATTGAAAGAGCAGCTGAAGGCGGCCACCGAAGCCCTGGGAGAAAAATCTCCCGAGAGTAGCACCGTGTCCGGATACGGTAGTTCTTCACTGGTTCTTCATTTCATAGTTTAGGATGCTGAATCAAAGAAGGGTGGGAATCCAATGATCTTGGGCAAGTTTTTCTGGAAAAAAGTTGGTGCACATTCATTGTTGCAAAGACCATTCTTTGATATCTCCTTGAGTAGGACTTGGTATGTTCAGGAACCTAGAATTAGAATTAGTGGTGAAATTGGATTACTTGAGGGAGGAATATGTATATTGGGGTGTTGTTGCTTTGTGGGGAAAGAGGCTGAGATAGTGACTTTCTTTTAACTATGTTTGTTTGGAAAACTATGACCTGCAAGTTTTCAAAAGAATTTTATTGACTTCCTTTCCTTCTTACCTACCTAGATATTATGAAATCGAAAAGCAATCCTGATTTCTTGAAGAAGGACAGGACCAGCATTGGCCGGCAACTAAGAAATATCAGGTCAAAGGTGAGTTGATGTGGTCTTTCCATCTTCCCTGTAAGACATGGTTAGACGTGCAACACCTAAGTAGCTGTCCCACTGGTGACTGTTTTCTCCTCAACAGGTAGCAACATCCAACTAAACTTAGGTCTTCTTAGGTTAAGCTGGGAAGGCCCTGGAGAATACTTGGGTAGAGGAATCCATCTGAGAATTCCAAGGCTTTGGACGAGCTTCAGAAGCCAACCCAGAAGAGAGCAAAAGCAATTTGCTTTCCTAAGTGTGCCAAGAAAATGCAGCCAAGAACATTCATTCTTTTGTGCTTTGAGTTATAAGCAACACATTTAAAGCATAAGATTTTAGGACAGTGTTTCCCAAATTTTGCAACCTTAAGATAAGTGGACCAACTCCCAGAATTCTCCAGATAGCCACGTTGAAGTTCATTTGTCTTAAAGTTGGCAAGTTTGACAAACATTGCTTTAAGGGAACATAGTTTCCAATAGTCCACAAGGGTGGACCTCTTCATCCTTTAGTTCCTTAGCCCGCTCTGGTCCATCCTTCTCTCCTTGCATATTGGCATACATGTGGCATTTAACTATTAGGAAAAGAATGCCAACCCTGAACTAAAACCACCCTCTTTGTAAGCATCCGGACCCCAGCAAAATTCACAGAAAGGACCGGCAGATTCGAGAAAGGTGTTCTATCATTTATTAATTAAGTTCCCATTGATTTTGTTGGTATCCTGCCCCTTTCTCTGTGTACTTCCTGCACCAGAAGACCTAGTTTAATTTCCTTCGGGTGCAGCTTCCCTTTATTACTGATCTGTGCTTTTTATTATTGGGGGGGGATTTAAAAAATTACGGAGTTGTTGATTTATGGAGCCATTTGGTCTTGTCCTCTTCCTTAAAGTCCTGTGAAGAAAGTTGTTTGCATCGCAGCCCATGATAGGATTTATGTCTTTTTTGTTTTTGTTCTTTGTCTTCGCTTCGGATAACAGTCGGTAATTGAGCAGGCTTCATGGGATAACTGAAATGCACCAGATTCCAGGGTCCCTGACATGTAGGTAATCCAACCACCCACCGGTTCAACAACGCTACTTCTCAGAGGTTGCAATGCACAAATGCATGTTCTGCTGATGTTTCCATAGCTAATAAGGTTCTTCCCTCTACCCACCCACTCCCCAGAAGTTGTGGGACTTGGGTTGGGTAGAGCAGGGACAGACCCCTCATGCCCGATCAGTGGCTGCATCCACCCTTCTGTCTCATCTTATCTTCACTGACATCCATCAAAGGTTTTCCTTGCCATCTTGGCTGACGTGGGGAGCTCTGTGGAGCATGAGAAGATGCCTGCATGTTGGATTGACTTTGCATGCTTCCACTGACCACTCTTCAGCAGGCACAAGTTTCCAAGTGAAGAATCATGTTTGAGTCCCTAGTTTGGGATACAAAACTGTCAGCAAATAGACAGTTGTTGGCGCAGTGGTTCGAATGCAGGCTAACTGCCCACTGCTAGCAATTCGATCCTAACTGGCTCAAGGTTGACTCAGCCTTCCATCATTCCAAGGTCGGTAAAATGAGGACCCAGATTGTTGGGGGCAAGAGGCTGACTCTCTAAACCGCCTAGAGAGGGCTGTAAAGTACTGTGAAGCGTTATATAAATCTAAGTGCTAGTGCTAATGCTATTGGTGGAGAGCTGGTATTGTTTGCACAAGGAAAGTATTCCAGTTGTTTTGCCATTAGAAATTACTGTACCCATTAGATGTGGTGGTGTATCTATCTTGGTATTCATATATATAAAATGTAAAATTATATATGTGTGGGTACATCTATATGTATAATTTTAATTGAAATTTTAAAAAGATTAAAACTAATAATAACAACTAATATGAAGAAAAAGAAAGAAAGCAAAAAGTACAAGAAACTTGGAAAACCTGAAGAAAAAACATCCTCCTAGGATTTTTACTGATTTTTCCTCTGTCTGAACTGACACATAGCACTGGAATTTTTGGTTTTGACCTTGTGCAATCAAATCAAAGGGCTAAAGCCTAATCTTCTGTGATTCATAAAGGAGATATGACATTCTGCTCTTACCACCATGAATGAGAGAGCCAGGATCTTGGTTCCTTAGGAGGGAAAAAAATCTGGACATTCCTTCTGTAATCCCAGCTCTACAAGAGACCCCCTCCTTTATGAAGTATTAATTTGTCGTCCCATAGTGACATTAGAAAATGGCCTTGGAGCAAATACGTTATAGGGAAAGGACAACTTCCTAGACCTTGTGGAGTTGAAGGCAGCTCTAGGGGGTCACTCTAGTTAGCTGCGCCTGTGGTCATCTTGCTCTTCCTCCATCAGGTACCGATTCTCCAGTAACCCCTCTCCATAATGGTGCTTTTTCTTTCTTCCGCATGATTTTAAAGCTGAGGATTTTGTCTCTTACTAGTTTATCTCCTCTGCCTGAACATCTCTGTGTGAGATTTGGTCCTTTCCACCAGAGCGGCTTTTCATGGTTTGCTTTTTTCTTCTCTCTCCTCTCCAGAGTCTGAAGGAAGGTTTGACGGTGCAGGAACGCCTGAAGCTCTTTGAATCCAAGGAGTTGAAGAAAGACTAATGTTCTCCTTCATGTCTGGCTTGGCCATGTGCACCACCTTGTTTGACACATCACGACACGAGCATCCTTCTTCTTTCTTTCCCCACCTTTTTGATCTTTTTTTATGACTACATTTCGCTTGGCCGGGAGCGGGAATTTTTCTAGAGCTCCTCCCGATGAACAGACCGAGCAATTCCAGACAATTTTTTCTGTCCACCATCAATTCTGTCTCATCAATTTTAAGATGTGTGGACTTCTGCTCCCAGAATTCCCCAGCCAGCATGGCTAGCTGGGGAATTCTGGGAGTAGAAGTCCAAGCAACTTAAAATTGATAAGATTGAGAAATACTAGATTAAACAGATGCTTTGACAGTCCTGAATTAAAAAGTCCTTACTTTGGGCAAGAAGACAGGGAGAGATTGAAGATTTTTCTCCCTTAAATATATATATATATTTATCTCTTTCCTAGTGTATATCCACTACATTAAGTGTCAGTATTAAGGCTCAACAGCCTATTATAAGCTAGCCCTGTTTTACTGATGTGTTGATATCACAACAGGGCCCTGGGAAAGGGGGAGGGAGGACACACCTCCAGGTTAGCTCCACCAGTGTTGAAGAGTAACACAGCACTTAGGCGCATCTTTTGAGCCATTCTGAAACAAACTCAGCTTGGCAAAGCAAGCTCCCCAACACCCCTGGATGATTGAGAAACACAACAAGGGGGAAAGAGAACACTTTGAGCTGTCCTTGATATTGTGTGGTTTGCAGAGATTCGGTCCTTTGTGTAGCTTAGCAATCTTCTGAATTTATTTTACTAAGCCAGCTTAAAACCATGGTTAAAGGGTGGCAGATTCCACCTTATCAGGATCTTGGAAAAAACAGTCTTTAAAACGGCTAGTCAATCACTGTCCTCTTCCAGTTGGATTCACCATTTCTCCTATTCTCGGTGGGTTTTGTGCATCCATCCAAAAGATTTCAAGACATTTCTCTCGTCTGCTGAGGACAGAGAAATTGGTTTTTATCCTAAAGTGCAGATCTTCACTTCTTCAAGGTGACTTTTAAAAAGAAAAACAAAAATGGATTATATTTGTCTTTGAGGATCTATTTGGGTCCCATTGCACCATGCAACAGTGGTACAAAATTGTAAATAAAAGGAGAAAGGGAAGCAGAGGTTGTGACTTGCAAGAGAGATGAGCTTCCCACGCAGCAAAGGGATTGGGGAGTTTGATTTAACAGTCCTAACAACAGTAGGAAAGGTGTCTTCTGTAAATTTCGGCAGTGTCTATGCAAGGGATATTCCGTTCAAGGAACACCTGAAAATGGGTTTGGAACTAAAAGGCCAGTTAAAGGTGGCCTTCAAAAGACCAGGTTAACCATGATCCAAAGAATCTTGAGTGCTTTCATCCACTTGAAATGAAGGTCTGCATGACTTTTGATTGTCCCTCCCATATCTTGGGCCCACCCACCCAAAAAAATGCAATGAATAGATTGCTTGATGCGCTGGGATCCAGATTGTATATACAACTTTCCCAAGAAAGGCACTAGGATGGATTAAATCCAATGAACAGAACACCTTGGAAGTGAGTGCTTAAAATTTCAGCATTAAAAACTCACCAGCATTATGAACAAGCCTTGTTTCCCTCTTCTCCACATTGCAGATGATTGGAGTGCTCCAGCCCAATTCTACAAATTTGAGGTCCGTTAAGATGGAGTTTTTGCTCTTATTGGATTGAGTTTCTGCTGCTTACTTGGACTATAAACTGTTGAACTTTGGGACAAGCCCAATTGCAAAGTCCTGCTAATCTCAGAGATGAGTTAGTCCATTTCTTTTCTCTGCATGCAGCTTTTAGAATTTTTAAGACACCTATGAAATAAGTTGTTCCAAAACAAAAACACCTGTTTTCTACAGGTAGACCTGAAGCAAAAGGATACCTTAGTATGCACTACCTTAAAGGCAGCTGGGAAATGTATGAATTTCAGGCTCCTAGTTGTGTTTGACATGCCACAACAACAGTATTTTGCAAAGTGTAGCTGCCCTGAGTGGCTAAGACTAAGAAGATCTTATTTTTACTTTAGAGGTTAGGCTTTTCTCCTTCAGGACTTGTGGCTCTCCTAACTCTGAGCAGTCTTCCCTATCTGACTGCAAATTGTTGGTTGAGGGTCTAGAAGTGTGTTTCAGAGTAGGTATGGCAGCCCCAAAGCAATTGTTAGGATTGGTGTATGCATGTTGGCATTTGGAGAGCACCTTCTCAGGTGGCTGAAGAAGATGCGGTGGTGGCATTTGTCCCTGAAATGGTATTGCAGGCATCTCTCTTCCTCTCTCCTTCACACAGGTAAGGTTGAACTGGTAGAGCAGTGTTTCTCAACCATGGCAACTTGAAGATGTCTGGCTGGGGAATTCTGGGAGTTGCCAAGGTTGAGAAACACTGGGGTAGAAGAATTTAATTTTTCTTGCATGATTTTCCTGCAACTTGATAACAATCTGTCTCTGGGAACAAAGGGTCTCTGGGAAAAATCCCTGCAGCTCATCCCGTCCCTTTCTCAATAATGTCCTGATTCCAAGATGGTTTCTTAAAACATGGAAAGCAATGTTTGAAAGATGGGCAAAACCACCCCACCTCCATTCGCACAAAACTGACTTTACTGCTGTGAACAAGGGGCTGTCCCTACGCAACCAAGCCAGCGGGTGTTTGGGAAAGCATGGGTTTCTTGAATGGCTCTTTGTACTTTGGAGATGTAAGATAAACGTATATTCTTGATGGAGGTTTAGCACAGGTAGATGTACTGTGCAAACACCTGAAATACGGCTTTTGGGATGTTGTCCATGGCCGATCTGGTCTTTTTCCCCCTTGTTTCAAAGCAGGACTCTTGTCTTTTCTTGATGCCATTTTGCTTTCCTTTTTTCCTGCTAAGAAATAAAAGGAGGATCGCTTGTGCTGATCCACGAATCTGAGCAGGCTGTTTTTCTTATGACAGAGGTTGCCTTCAAGCAGCCCTGTGTGATGTTTAGGGGGGAAAGTGTTGCTTTTTGTAATGACAACATACTTGATTAGAATCCCACTGGACTTCTTTTTTCTCCATTTCAATGGTTCTTATTCAGTACTTCGTTGTGAACACTTTAAGCACATGCACGCTTATCTTTCCTTTGTAATTTCCCCGTTTTTTAAAGCTTTATTCTCTAAAAATAATTTAAGACCTGTATAGTATTCAAAGCACGCCATGTAAATATTTATTATGCAAAAACTCGCAGAGGGTTTTATGGGGTGACTTTCTTTTTTTAATCTTGTTCTTATACGGATTTCCTTTGGACTTGAAAGGAAATTAGTGTAACCTGAAATCCTGCTTTGTTCCCTTACAGAATGTCGGTTGGTTGGTTTGAATGCTATAAATATATTTTTAAATTTCTCTGATCCTTTTTAGTTTTGGAAATGCTTCTCCAAAGAAAAATATGTACAGTGTTTTAAAACTTAATTGCTATACAGTAGTTTTCTTCCTCATTCACTTCAGTAAGCTTGTAACGATAGTGGTGCAAATAACCCGGGATATGCAGTTATGTTGCAGTAAACTCAGTTTAATGGACTCATAGGAAGGTGTTTGTTAGACCTGAATGTCCATTAAATAACGAATAGGATTGTATGTATGCAGAGTGGCCAATGGATTTTATCTGATCGACTGAAGGTCCAATAAATTGAGCATTCACTGCATGTTCACTGACCAATGGTGATGGTAGCATCTCTTAAGTCATCAAAGGTACACCATATTGTTGCACGTTAACCCTATGGCAGATTAAACCAAGCAGTTCAGTTCTCCGAGGAAATTAAGTCGATGTTGCTTCTCACTGTCCATAAATTTGAATTATGCCATTCTGCACGGTGGTCACAGCATGGCAGTATACAGCTGCTGTAGTTTTGATGTCTCCCTTTAAAGTTACGGTATGATACACTCCAGTGGTGTTTTCAGAGGGGAAGAATACCCTTGCTGGTAGAATTTGAGCCGGTGACTGACCACAAGAGCTGGGAAATAGTCCTAAAGTACCTAAGGGAAAATCTTGGTTTTGCCATGGAATTAGCTATGCCATAAATCTGCATAAGTCAATAAAATTTGTTAACAGTGGATCTGGGTGATGAGAAATAGGTGTTATTTCCTTGTTTCAATGGAGTGACACTATCACTACTTTCAGTGTAAGGAACAACCACACATAAATGTCTACATGCCATTGTTGTTGAGCAGCCGAAGAGCCTGCTGATCTGTTCTTACCACATGAACCTATGTGAACCTGGAGGAGAGGGAGTGGGAGGTTGTGCACATAGACTGCAAGGAGGCCCATCTTCATGGGCTACTCGTGACTGCCTTATTTCAGAAGATTTCTGAGGCCACCATGTCTGTGTCTTAAGTCCCACGTGAGCAGCATCACCAAGCTGACCATAGCTGATTGGATCGCCAGGTCATCTGAGAACTCAGTGTGGGGACGACTAATTCAGTGTTTCTCAACCTTGTTAAGAATTCTAGGAGTTGAAGTCCACCCATCTTAAAGTTGCGAAGGTTGAGAAACACTGCTCTAATCCATACTTTCCGGCAAAATTTAGGGTGTAAGAAGAGTCCATTTGGAGAGCAGGTGTCAACCAACAGTCCATTCAAACCAAGAGGACTCGTGGGAGTCCCGGCAAACTTAGCTGCTGAACAATGAATGCGTCCTCTCTTTTTCTCAACGAATGTGTTTTGAATTTAGTGAGTTTCTGAATGGCGTCTTTTCATGCTTTTAAGGGAGCTAGTTCCCTCTTCAGCTGTTCACTGTAGAAGTATCACTTCGGTCACGGTATTTATTCCTTACAAACCTTCTGTGACATGCTAGGGTTCCCATGGATGTAGCTGATGATTTTGTAAATATAATTACTTAACTATACATAAAATTATATCATAATAAACTATTTTTGCACCACCCTTGGTATGCTGTAATGAAGATTTTTTTGGTAGATGGAGATGACACGGCCTTCAGAATTACTGCTCAAATGTGATTTTATTATAAGTCATGGGTCATGATGCTGGCTTCCCCATAAATGTAACAATTGCTGATACGTGGAACAGAGTATATGCTGCTGAACTGTTCCAAGTATGGCAAAAAAAGGAGAAATGGAAGTCGCAAAAATAAAATATTGATCAAACTGCCCCACTCCAGACCCTCTTAAAGATAGGTGTAGTTATTTCATAACTTGGCTGTTAAAGAGTCCCAATGTGGTACAATAATTCCATTCACGCTTGCTCTCTGGAACCACAGCTTTAATCATTAGAAAAACTAAACAAACAGAGGTATTAAGACCTGACAATATATTTAGCTATTAATAGTTACCTCCATTTCTTCAAAGAGTTCTCTTGGAATCTTTCTCATCAGTAATATAATTTTAAGTAACAGCAAGAGTTAAAGCCATCGCTCCGAATATCTTTTGACACAGAGAAATATTTAAACTAATCATACTTATGGCTGGATGTTGCCTCCTAATGCAATACACCATGCAGTGAGACAATTCTGCCTCTCTCCACTTTTTGCTGCAGGTTCTTATAATTCTTATATTCCAGAATTCAAATCAAACAAGCAACACATAGAAATTCAGGACTCCCAACTTAACTGCTCTTTGGAAAATAAGATAGTTGTTCTTAAGCCTTCCTGAGCCCTTTCTCTCTTTCAGTTCAGACGCGAGACCTGATTCCGTATAAGTACACAGATTAAAGGTAACATCTTAGAATGTTAACTTCCCAAATGCAGGAAATGTGCTTATAAAGATCAGTGTACAATTCCATCTTTGTATTCTGTTCTGCAATAATCCCTTCTTAATAAAGTCTATTTCAAGTTGGAAAGTAAATTTACTGAACACTTAGGAATACATTATTTGTGTATTTCTTGACTTGCTTCTTATCTTTTAAGATAATTATGTCCTTAAATAACACGAGAAATTTTGAACCAAATGCTCCCAAACTTTTTTTTTGTCATGCTGTATTTTTGTCCCAGAATTAGCTTTATCCATTTTCAATCCCAGTTTTCTCATGTTTAGAGAAAAATGTATAATTAGCAGGATTGTAGTTTTCCCAAATCTTTTCAAATTCTGCTAGAAAAATGTTCACCAAAGCCTGGTCTTCTAGCACCAGCACGTTCTCTCTGTTGGCCTGGATTGCTTGCGTGGTCCAGTTCAAAGAGCCCGTGATCAACACTTTCTTGTCCACGATGGCAAACTTATGGTGCATGTAGCCACTGTCCTGATCATGGCGTACCTGAATCCCTTTGAAAGAAGAGAAAACCCCACTCAGCATTTGGCTGGTCGCTCAATTGGGCGTGGGAGAGTCGCCTGATGACAAGAGAGGCATACAAATTTAACAGTAATTTACGCAGATGGGTGCCTTTACGACCAAACCATCTCATCTTTCAGTCTTTTATCAACCACTTTTGTCCTCAATCCACTTGCCTTAGCTCAAATCTCTCTATTTTCTTTCCTTCTTCCACCATGTATCCTGTAAACCCTTTCCATCTCATTGCTTATTTTCATGTTTCTCTTCACCCCCCAGGCCAGTGTGACTACAGCATTGGGATGCAAGGGCTGTTGTGGCCTTGCACTCATGTCCAGAAGCACAGAGCTTGCCCATGAGGGCTCAAAGACAGCAGGGAGAGCCTGATGCTCATGACCCACCCATGGCTTCCCTCTCCCCAAATAACCCACCCTTTTCATTCCTTTTGACCACATTCACATTTAGACACCACCCTCAAGACTTGAATGCTCCTTAGGGCTATTGGGCAGGGAGGTTAAACCAGCCCCGGGAGTGGCTTACCTTCCCCTTTAAGTCTTGAAAGGGGATGTCCTAAACCCAGGCATGTGTTCAGATGTAGGGTTTGGGGTTCAAATCCTTTTGCCTGCCCTCCAGCCTCACTATGGCTGGGTAGCTGTGTTTGGGTAAATAAATCCAATCACGCTTCCCAACTCACTCCTTACAAGGTCTCCGCTTGCTCACTTTCCATTCTGTTGCTGCTTCAACAACTTCTTAATGGTTCGTTCCAATTTTCTGTCTCTAGATGGCTGGTTGTATTTGTGGTTTTGTTCCTCCCTCTTCTTGCCCTCCCCCCACCAGACACCAGATGGGTGCCCCACCCAATTGCTTAAAGCAGGGGTCTCTAAATTTGGCTGCTTTAAGACCTGGGGACTTCAACTCCCAGAATTCCCCAGCCAGCCATACTAGGAGGAATTCTGGGAGTTGAAGTTCACAACTAATAAAGTTGCCAAGGTTGGAGACCCTTGGCTTAAAGGAGCATTTCTCAGCTTTGGGCCAATGGAAGAGAAATGGACCAACTAATGAAGGAGAGAAGCAACCTAGGAGAAATTTCCTGACAGAAGAATTCATCAGTGGAACAGCCTGCCTCCAGAAGCGGTGAATGCGCCAACACTGGAAGTCTTTTAGAAGAGACTGGACAGCCATTTGTCCGAAATGGTATAGGGTCTCCTGCCTGAGCAGGGGGTTGGACTAGAGGGTTGGACTAGATGGCCTCCAAGGTCTCTTCCAACTATTATTATTATAATAATAGTAATAATATCTCCCAGGATTCCACCAGCCCCGCCCATCCCTCTCCCCGCCCTGATTTTCCTCCTTCCCCCCCCATGATCCGATTTCTCCTTTTCCCTCATTGGCCGGCACGCTCCGGCCCCGCCCCCCTGCTGCCCCGCCCCTCACCGGCTCTCCTCAGCGGCCCGATCTGCGAGCCGCGCAGCGCCATGTAATCGGCGTCGACGACGAGGCGGACGCGGACGCCGCGGCGGTGCAGGAGGGCGACGGCGCGGCCGAGCTGCGGGCTGGAGAAGGCGAAGAGGCAGAGGTCGAGCGAGCGCCGCGCCGCCAGCACGTGCGCCAGCAGACGGGCCAGCGCGCTCTCGCCGTGCGGTAGCGGGCACGCGCAGGGCGCCCCGGCCAGCAGCTCCTCCGTGCACGTCACCCTCGAGGGAAAGAAGATGACCTCGCTCGGCGCCGCCGCCCGCCGCCTCAGCAGCCAGCCCAGCAGCGCCTCGAGCGCCGCGCCGAGTCCGACGGCCAGCACGACTCGCCACATCGCCGCACGTTCGGGTCTTCCCGCCTCCAGAGGCGCGCATGCGCCCCTTAAGGAAAAGAAGAGCGCATGCGCCACTTCTCATAACATTTTTTTTTTTTTTTTGCCCCGCATGCGTTATCTGCCCTGGCAATCCCTCTGCCGCGTGAACTTCAACTCCCATCATTCCCAGACGGAATTTTGCTCTTCAGGCCTTGTGGGAGTTAGAGTCGATATGGAGGGACATGGCCAGCCCTTCTTCTAACTCTTTTAATTTATCTTGGTTAAAATCAGCTTTAACTATGATTGGGAAGGAAAATTAGTGACAATTATAGAGGAAAGAGCCTGTTTCCTGCATTTTTGGAACTTTTAGTGGAAATACTTTTTTAAAAAACTTTGCAAAGCAAAACTTATGTGCTAACTAGTACATGTTAAATATTAAACATCATTTGATTTTAAAAAATCCTTTTATTATGTGCATTTTTACACACACATTAAATAAAAATTCAACACAACATGAATTACACAATGAAGGAAAAGTCATAAAATATTTAAGAAATCTTTCTGAAAAGGAGCAACTATAAATATTTCAACATATTCACAAAAATAAACTTAACAAATTAGAATCTCTTATTAATCTTTCTCCCTTTTAAAAATTCCATATAAAATATGTTCGGAATTACTTTTCTTGCCAGAAAAGATTATCTGTGCAGTTAAAAATATAAAGAACTGAATTAATCTCACGGTAACATAAAACGCTGTAAATGTTGCATTGTTGAAGTCCAAAAAGTTGCTAAGGTTGGACACCCCTGATGTAGGTAGTTTTGAGGCCAAGAGCCCTTCCTTCACGCTTTGCTTTTCAGTCGGTCTACAGAGTGTTGCCCCAGAATATCTGAGCTGCTTCATCCTACACAAAATGAGTGGATTGACAGAGTTCCCCTAGCGCAACCCAAGAGTTCCTCAGACTAGGTCCGAGCCTCCAGAGAAGTTGGACTGCGAACGGTGGACATCAAATGTGATTTGTAGGTCTTGCTCAAGCCCGTCATCCAGAACTTCAGAAGCTTCACGTTATCCTCTTCAGAAGCCCCCAAGATGCTCAGCAACTTCTGGGTATCTTCTTTGGGCCTGCTGTCCACCTTGGTGAATTTAAAGAGGACCTTCACTTTACTGCAGAAAGCAAAAAGAAAAAAAAGAATCGTTAGTTGCAGACCAGGACCAGTTCTTTTAAAAATGAAATTTCTGAAGATTACACGGCAGACCTCCCTTCCTTCAAGGAAGCGTACAAGAATACTCTAGAAGACAACCACTTCTCAAGCGAAAAGTCCATCTTACTTCATCCACTCCTCCTTCAGGCAAATGAGGCACTGGTCCACCACATCGACTGAGAGGTTCTGATTCATCAGAGCAGCTTCAATCTTGTTCAGGATGGTGGGACCAACTGCAGATGGGAAGAAGGACTTGAATACCATCCAATTTTTCCATCCTAATCACCCCTGCCCTGTTTGGACACCCCTCCATCTTTTCTCTCTCTCCTGCATTGTTATCTGTACAACAGATGCCTTTCAAAGTGACAAAGGATGTTGCTTTTCAAAAATTCATAACCTAACTCCTTTTGGTTGTGAAGTTGCACGGTGTTGCGACTCTTGGCCCAAAATGGCTTGGACTAAATGCACATGGCTCACCTCTGTCTGCTGCCAGAGGGCTGCCGCTGGTAACCACAAACTCGTATTTACTGAGGGGCTGGTCGTCGTCGAAGAGGACGGGGTAAAGGCTCGACCGTGTGGCGGGGCGAACTTCCACCAGGACAGCAAACTCTGGAGGAAAAAACAGAATTTCTTCATAGCGCCATCCCCAGGTTTGTAGGAGCAGTAGAGAGAACCATCCTGAGTGACTAAAATGCTACTGTTCCTGCATCCAGAGCATCAATCTAGAGATAGTCTTCAACTTAAGCGCCCGCTTGAATTTATATAACAGCACTGAAAAAAACTTGCAACCCATCCTCGCACTGAACCATCGCAGCAACCCCCAGCCATGTGATCAAAGCTCAGCTGCTCAGCAAGTGGTGTTGGTTGTAGTGTCCCAGGTTTGTCTGACTGCCATCTGCAACCTTCCCAAGTGGCTTCTGAGAAGCAAAGTCAGTGGGGGAAGCCATATTCACTTAATGACGCTAACAACTGCATTTTACTACCTAACAACCACGGTAGTAAAATCCAGCGTGACTCACTTAGCAGCTGCCTTGCTTAATGACAGATATTCTGGTCCCAACTGTGTTTGCAAGTCCCAAATCTGACCATCAGGGTTTCCAAGACAAGAAAAGGGTTACCAATCTTGTCTACCAGCCCGGGGAGGACAGAGAAAGAATCGCTCTTACCAGAGGACAAAATGTGAGGCGGGATTTGTACTTGAGGACCCAGGCCCAAAAAGTTGCACCGGTAAGCCTCCTCATATTGGTCACTGTATGGGATGATCCGGACGCAACCAATCGGAAGCATGGTCTAGCAAAGGAAAGGGAGGAGGGTGAGAATCCAGTTTGAATACAGGTAGAGGCAACAGATTTTATGGAAAAGATGGATCTGAAGATTTGCGTTCATTCATTCAATTTGTATAGCACTCAGCTTCGTGACTCTAGCCAAGAAAGAAAAACATTTTAAAATAATAAATATTAATATAGGTAGTCTTAGACTTAGACTTACAACAGTTCGTTTAATGACCATTCAAAGTTACAACGGCACTGACAAAAGCAAATTATGACTGCTGTGTAAGTCTGTCAGTTTCTAGAGGCTTGGAATGGTTTGATTAAGATCAAGACCAAAAACATCCATTCATCCACTCTCAACTGTTTTGAGGAACCCCCACACAGGATCACGGGGACGAGAATTCAGCCTGTCCCACCCCGTATTATGACTCCAAGGAGGCCCAGCCAATCAGAAATCCACTAGCAAAGGACAGGGCGGAGGAAGAAGCAGCATGTTTCCTACCCGCAGGACATCAAAGGCGGACTGGATGAGGTCTCGATCCTGCGCTTTCCAGATGACCTGGTTGCCCATAAGAACATGCCAGGCCAGCATGCGGAACGCCAACGACCCCAAGACCTGGGAAAGACACAACAAATAGTTTTAAAAAGCTTATTTTTTGCTTTTAATTTTACTTTACACCAGTGTTTCTCAAGTTTGGCAACTTTAAGAGGTCTGGACTTCAACTCCAGACTTTTTAAAGTCACCAAGCTTGAGAAACACTACACCATGCTTCCCAAGTTCGGGAAGCATCTGCTTTTTTTATTTAACATTTATGTTTATTCATTTATCTTATTTTCTCTATGTTGCCATGTACTTCGGCAGCCTCCTAAAACTTTCAGGATGGGGAAAGGCTATCCTGTCCTTTACCAGTGATCCAGCAGGCCATTCCTTACCTGTCTCAAATGCCGGAGGGAACGGAAGACAGACTGATTCCCACCCGGCCCATTCCAGCTGCTGCAGTCTGCCAGAAGACCGAAATCGGCCTGGTTCTTCATTCGCCTAGAACCTTCATGGACATCCTTTTGGCCAGGCGATTTTCCATCTTCTTCCTCCGAGTTATCCCAGGCTTCTGATTCTTCCTCCAAATCTCGAGAGAAAAAAGATTTTGAAGGGAGAGTATCTGAGCTTCTTCCTGCACAGGGAAAGCAGGAAGGCGGCTTTTCAGGAGCGAGACTGTCCCGCAAAAAAGGCTTTTGTCCTTACCAGCGAGTTTCTCCATCTGCACCAAGGTGTCCTCTGTTGGAGCCCCCTCCAGAAGCTTCTCTGTCAGTCTGCTGCCACAGGCCTTCAGAAGCCTAAGGATATCGGAAATGGGTGTGAGCCCACTTGATACGAGAGCACCCCCCCCCCAAGACAACACAGCCCAGGCTTTAATCTCTCCAAAATGCACATTATTACATTTAGGGATAAGCAAGCCATCATCATCTAACAATTTGGGAATCATCCACTATTTCAAAATGTGAACGTTTGCAAATGATCTTTGATAGTTTGTCAATTATCTTCTGGCCAAAAGGAAAACACAAGTCTTTTGATTACAGCCCCTCCTTTAGCAATTGTTCAAAGTTACAATGGCACTAAAAAAAATGACTTATCGCCAGCTCTTGCACTTACAACCATTGTAGCATCCCCCATGGACATGTGATCAAAATTCAGGTACTTGTCCACCAGTGTGGATTTACGACAACTGAGCCTGTCCCGGGGGCCACGTGATCCCCATTTGTAACCTTCCCAACTGGCTTTTGACAAGCAAAGTCAATGAGGAAAGCTGGATTCATTTAACAATCTTATGATTTACTTAACAACTGCAGACAATTGGGGTAAAAAGATTGTAAAATCTGGTGCAACTCACTTAACAATTGCCTTGTTTAGCAACAGAAAGTCTGGTCCGAACTGATGTCTTACGTCGAGAATAGTAATGACTTTGGCATTCAAAAAAATTGAATTGGAATTAGCAATATTTTGCTGTGGATAATGATAGTGAGAAATGTAAAATCAGCAGGCTCTGATGGATTAAACTTTGTTGGTAGGTAGTTCAGCTAAACTTCAGCTAAATTTTTTTAGTAACTAATCGTATCAGGTTCGGGTGTTAAAATCTCAAATCCTTTCAGGGGATCCTCCCCGGGATCTGAGCAGTGCCTGTTCTCTGCACCCGGATTTCCAAGTCAGAGGCCTCCCAACAAGTGTATTCACCAAGCAAATGAAGTGTGAAGACAAGCCCACAGGTTCTCGTCATTGGTGAGCGAAGTGAGCGAGCGAGCCGCGTTTCCATTCCGCTGATGCAGAAAGGGGGTGAAGGCCGTGTTCATGCGTTGGGCCCGCTGCGGACATCCGTACTGCTCAGCTTCAAAGACCTGGGTAACCAAGAAGCAACAATGAAAAAAAAAATAAGTTGAAAGAGAAGGTGTTTAAAAACCCAGCTAGGCCAAAATTTGTCATTAGCGAAGAAAGCAGCAAGACCTTAAAAAGATCTTCAGACTCTAGAAAGAGTGCAGAGAAGAGCAACAAAGATGATTAGGGGCCTGGGGGCTAAATTGGACAAGGAATGGCTGTGAGAACTAGGTATGTCTCGGACTAGGGGTGAAAGGATAGTAGTGTTCCAACATCTGAGGGGCTGCCACAAAGAGGAGGGGGGGTTAACCTCTTCTCCAAAGCACCGGAAGGCAAGACAAGAAACAACGGATGGAAGCTAATCAGGGAGAGAAGCAATCTGGGATTAAGGAGAAACTTCCTAACAGTTAGAACAATTAATGCATGGAACGCCTTGCCTTCAGAAGTTGTAGGTGCTTCATCATTGGGGATTTTTAAGAAAAGACTGGACAGCCACTTGCCTGGAATAGTATAGGGTCTCCTGCTTGAGCAGGGGGTTGGACTAGAGGACCTCCGGGTCCTTTCCTACCCTATGTGATTCTCAAACGTGTTTAATTTAAACCGGTCCCTCCCGCCCAGCCTGCCCAGACCTTCAGAGCTTTGCCCTGCAGCTCGTCCACGATGCCCCGGATCTTCCCCAGGAGGAAAGGCCAAGAGTTTATAAGGTAGATACGGTCCATCATGATGGTGATGATGCTGTACCAGCGCTGGAAGCCCCGAGCCAGGCTGTCCTTGATGAAGAAGGTGTGGCTGAAGACGAATCCGTGCTGCTCATCGCCAAAGAAGATGGGACCTTCCCGTCCGGGGCAGACCTTTGCGGAGGAAAAGAGCCAGACCCCCTCAAAGCCATCGGTGGGCACCAGAAGTTCTTACGCACAGCCTGTCTGCAACCCCCCAAAACTGTGCAAAAATAAAAACACCCGTTGGGGCATTTCTTTTAGAAAGTGAGGCCTTCAAGTCTCCTTCCAACCTTAGGCAAGGATTTTCTTCTGCCATTAATCTTAGTTTTATTTATGCATTCAGTTTCTAGAGTTGCCCATCTCAGTCCAGCACCCGGGGCAGCTTACAATTCCAAAATGATCCAAAATTGGATAAAAATAAAACAAAAGAAATAAAACAGCAACCCGACCCAGCTGACTTACTTCACAGCTAAGGCTGCGCACGCAAGCCTGGCGCACGATGCTGAAGAGCTGGGGGTGATTGGGGTGCTGGTGGCTGATGTACTTGATCGAGGTTTCCTTGTCGTGGCTGATGTAGCCTGGATGGCCGACAGGAAGGGAACGACAACCCTAAGAGGTGGGGGAAAAGAACAAGAAATAGACCAGGAGTCTTCAAACATGGCCCTTTTATGACTTGTGGACTTCAGCTCCCAGGAATTCTGGAGTCGAAATCCACAAGTCATAAAAGGGCCAAGTTTGAAGACCCCTGAAATGGACACTTGGCAACACTGTGAATTCCAGAAACTGAAATCAAAATGTCAAAAACGGTGGTCCCAATGACTGCATGGCTGGCTGGGGAATTCTGGGAGTTGAAATCCACCCATCTTCCAGTGGGCCAGGTTGAGAAACTTGGAACAAAGCAACGGGAAGGATGCCATGAAGGGAGAAACAAGCATAATCAAAAAAACCCGTTTGGATCAATGAATTGCACAGGGATTCCTGCAGAGGGGAGGGAGGCTTGGGGGGCACTCTGGCCTTATGCCAAGGGGGAAACCCACTTGCCTCACACATGTCTGACTTCTTGGGCCCCGGGCTGCTGGAATCCACACTGGCGCCTTCGGCCGGGCTGTGGGAGCGAATCCTGCTGCTCATCTGAATGCCGCCTTCCTCATCCTCCGCCAGTTCGCTCTGCCCGGGGCTGTCTCCCCCCGGCGGGCCCTGTGGCAAAGGGGCGTGCAAGACCTCTGTGCAGAACAGGGTGCGAGGGCCGTGCAGCTCGCAGAAGTGGCACAACACCACGATGGCATTCATGGCCCAGCTGCAAAAAGCCGAAAGATCATGTCTTGATTTTGTGCAATTCGAGATGGACATGCAGGATGCCCCCGTCTTATTTTCCCAGCAAGAACAACAACCCTGCGAGGTGGGCGGGGCTGAGGGTGGGGACTGGTGCAAGCTGGTTTCTTGCCTAAGGTTCAAACTGGCTCTTATTTATACACATGCATGATAGATAGATTAGATAGATAGATAGATAGATAGATAGATAGATAGATAGATAGATAGATAGATAGATAGATAGATAGATAGATAACCACACCAGCTTGCGCACATACCAGCTTCTCATACGATCCTACCTTTTCTCCCTCCTCGGGAGCCACACCAAGCGGCTAGTCCTGATTGAGGTCGCCTCGCTTTTACAGTACTAAAGAACTCGAGGGTTTCGTGATGATGGAGTGCGCATGCGCGTCTTTCCGGGTTTCTGGCGCCGCCCAAAGCGCCTGATCCGGACTGAGTGGGAGGAACCATTAAACGCCTCCTTGGAAGGGGAACCCAACCGAGCTTTCGCCTCCTTTGAAAGGCCGCGTGGAATCCAAGACTAGGCAAGGAATTAGAGCACATCTGAACAGTACACAAGTCACTCCCGAATCCTCCTGGAGTAGCATTCAGACTTTCTTTGCCAACTTCTTCAGAGGATCCCCCTTGAGCTGCAATTGGTTCAACCCACCACTATTGAGGCTTCCCCAGAGGGGCTAACCTGAGAGAAATGGGGGGGGGAGGAATTTCACCAGCAATTTATCCGCAGTTTCAGAAGGATGTCCACGTATCTGGGGTCCCAAAATACCAAAGCCAAATAGATTGCTAATTCAAAAGAGGGAGGTAACCAGAATCTCCTGCCCGCATATTTAATTTTATAGGCCTCCCCTGGGGAACATGGTACAGCCCAGCGAGTCCTATGACAGTCATATGATAGAAACAATGCAGAAGTCGTCCAGTGGCGCTGAAAGGGTTAAGAGGGGAGGGGGCTTTACTTAGATTTGTATCTCGCTTTTCCTGCGGGAGGGAATTCGAGCCAAAGCGGCGCCTTTTAGAGAAAAATGTGCATTTTTTGGATGACCTCCGTTCCTTCATTGCACCATCAACCAGGGTTGCAAAGTCTTGTATGCAAAGACAGCACAACTGGGGTCTCTGCCCCACACAGCATGCAGCCCTGGCAGGAGGGATGGGCTGTGGGACAGATCTGGCCACTTCTTGCCCTCCGTTTCCACGTGCGGAGAGGATGATGAGGTTTGAGCTCCACTGCAGGGATTCTTAATCTCAGCAACTTCCATTAAGGTGGGTGGATTTCAACTCCCAGAATTCCCCAGCCAGCCACGGAGGAGCATGGGAATCCTTCCCACATTGCTTAATTTCTCCAGCAAGTTTGGCTAGTGATGTATGCAGGAAGCACAGAACGGGGAAAAGGTGTCAACACGTCTTCCCAGGCTCTGGATGTCCTCTGGGACAAGGGTCTCCAACTCTGGCAATTTTACAACTTACGGATTTCAACTCCCAGAATTCCCCAGTCCACATGCTGGCTGAGGAGTTCTTGGACTTGAAGTCCACAAGTCGTAAAGCTGCCGAGGTTGGAGATCCCTGCTCTAGGGATCCCTGGGACAAGATTCTGGATTATTATTGGGTGCCCCTTTGCCAGAATTTCCCCACCAGACGTGCTGAAGATAATCGGAGGCAGAAGAGACACAGAAGCACTGCTAAGAAATGCCAACTGCTCAGGCTTAGCCAGGAGGGATTAAAACAGTTTGAGGTACCATGAAATTGCCAAGGAAATTCTCCCTACCTCCCTGCCAATCAAAGCAACAAACTTTTAGATCCAAATTAATATGGGGAGAAAAGAGAATAACAAATACTTTCCCTTAACTCAGGGATGTCAAATTGCGGGCCGGTTTCATCATACCGAAGCAGCGCCCACCCCATTGCCGGCAATGGCGAAAAAGCTCCAATACGTTGCGTGACATCACATGACATTGCGAGTTTGACATGTCTGCCTTAAGCTTACAAAAACACTCTTATTTTGCTACAAGGAAACTGCTTTCCATGTGAACAATGACTCTTCATTCGATCAGAAATCTAACTCTCCCGACAGAACTTTACTCTGCATGGAACAAAAAAAAGGAAGCCATTGCCAAAAGCAGTAACATTCATAAAACAAAAAGGTGAATTATTTAATGCATTGACAATGTCAAATCTCAAGATAAATTCACAACAGAATGAGACTTTTTTTTCCTCTCTTTGTGGAGCATTCCCCCCCCCCCAATCATACAGTACTGAGAAGACATCATTTTAAGTTCAGATGCGACAGTTTCTGCTTTCTTTTGGGGGAGGTTCTTAACACTCAAATCCTAAAGCTGTCTCTCTTTAGCATTTTTTTTTTGTTTGTTTGTTTTGTATGTATGTATATGTGTGTTTTACAAGAGAGTAGCAAGCAAAAATGTGATTTTCAGGAATAACTGGATGGTTTGCTTCCTGATTCATCTTCTTGGGAGCCCATACTCTGCAAAAAAAACAAAAAACAGAGAAATTTTTTTGAATCTGAAAGAGCAGAAAATAAGAACTCTGGGATCTCTGCAGACACCGAGGGGAATCCAGCAGAAGGGACAAGATTTTCTAATCAAATGAAACTGATTCCTTTATGCTTAGTTACAGAGATTCAGTGATTTTAGGAGGATTTTTTTTTTAAAAAATCAGTATAGTGGGGCTTTTCTTCCCCTTGTATTTGGTAGGCAAAGTGATTCAACAATGGCTTTGATGCTTACCTTCTGCACAAACTGGGGGTTCACGGTGATCTCCTGATCCATCGCTTTCAGTCTCTCATCAAGTTCTATACATTTCAACATCTAAAAGAAAAAAAGAATGGATTTCTTTGGAAGCTCTGTTGCAGCCCACAATGGACGAATGACTGCAAAAGTTGATAGAGTTAGCTGAGATGGCTAAACTGACTGCTTTGATTAAAGAACAGAGTTTTGCTTCTATTTAGAAACTGTTTTTGGACTTTGTGCTCGAAGTGGGGGAAAAAATGGAACTTTGATATTGGGTTTTGCTGATTAGACAGGTCTGTTGTTATAGAAATGGCTGGTATATATATCAATAGTAAATATTGAAGATTTTATGTTATGACCTTATTCTACTGCACCAAAAGGAGTTGGAAGTCAATGCTTTTCTTTTTCCCTTTACCCTACACTTTTCTATACACTTTATTTTCCCATAATCATTATTTTTCTTTGTATTTTTGTATTTTATATTTCAATAAGCTAATAAAAATATTTGAATCATGGAAGCTGTATTACAGTGGCATTTTCAAATACTCTACACAGATAGTCCCTCGACTCACAACCAATTGTTTAATGGCAGCTCTAAGTTACAACGGAATCAGCAAACAACCCCCCCCCTTACCTCCTGGTCAATGTTGTGGAGCATTGCCGGGTTGTTATATTTCTCGGGATTATCGTGAAAACAGACCATGCCATCTTTCTGGTTAATACTTGCAAAAATTTCGCCGTCTTCTATCTGAATATAAAAGGACACGATTGAAGCAGGATTTTGCTTGGAACCACACCCTTCCTCGCTTGGTTATGCTATTCAGCTATATATCACTTCCACCTGAGGCAGAACACCTTACCATATGAAGCACGTATTTTTCTGCCTCCTGAGCCCCTGATAATTGCACTCGGCTCGCCATGTCTTGTAGCGACAGTGTTAAAAAGGTCTGAAAAGAAGCAGCACAGCGAAATGGAGAAACTGAACAAGTAGCTTTTAGGTTATCCCTTTCTCTAAAATCTGTGAAGTGGAATTTGCAAGATACTGCATAGTAAAAAAAAAAGGGGGGTGGGGGAGGTTTGACTTTTGCAAGGCTATAATAGATGGGAAATGAAAACATTCACTCATTTTTTTTCTCTGTAGGAGCCCCTCTAGGCCTTGGGAGGGGAGCGCCTCACCTTCGTTAGCCTCTGGATGTTCTTTTTGTAGAGAGATGATAAGCACTGTTTCACCAGGCCCATGTTGTTATCCCGGGTAAAGGTCTCACTATGCTTGTTCACCAGACTTCGCAGCTCGGAAGGCTTATTGGTTGCATACACTTGCGCTAATTCGTGATACGCGTTGCTAAGCGGCTGCAGTGACAAAACGGAAGAGGTTGTAAAAACAGAAGGGTGGGTAATTCAACCTCCAACGATCCAAAGAAGACTAGTCCACCTCATCCCTAGGCTGGCTGTTAGCTTTCCTGCTTGAGCAGGGGGTTGGACTAGAAGATTTTCAAAGTCCCTTCCAATTCTTTTATTCTGTTATGTCTTAGGCTTTCTCACTTCCCCACAACATTTGCAAAGTATTTTTTTTTTTCCTTTTCAGGTTGCTGCCCTGAACCCATCAAAATGTTCCCATTTCCCCTTCAATCCAGTTTGGCTCATTTTACTAAATCTGGGGGCAGGGAATCTCCTTTCCCCATCCCGTCCCACACACGAGCCTCCCAATTCTTGGTTCAGAAAGGATCTCTGGGGCCTCACCTTAACAAATCTACCTATTATTTGGGAGGTGTATTTCGGCAGCTGCTGCACTTTGCCAAGGAGTATCAAGGAGACTAGAATATACTTTTTGTACGATTCCAACATAATATGGCTGACAGCCATGGCGGGGGTCGTTATGGCCTGAAAAATAAAAATGGAAGGTTAGAGGCAGCCAGCACAAAAGCGGAAGATGGCAGCAGTTTAGTCTTTTGCAGAAAGAAAAAGCAAAGAGCCCAATGACATCTTTAAAAGATTAATATCTGTTTTTGGAGTAAATCTTTAACAGAGGACGGTGCAAAAAAAGAATTTGTTTGGTACAGCGGTTCAGATACTGGCCTAGAAACCAGGAAACGGTGAGTTCTAGTCCTGCCTTAAGGCATGAAAGCTGGATGGGTGACTTTGGGCCAGTCTTTCTCTCAGCCCAACCCACCTCACAGGGTGGTTGTTCTGAGGAAAACAGGACAAGGAGTATTAGGCACGTTTACTACCTTGAGTAGACCAGCTATTTTTTAAAAAGTGGAATAAAAATCTAACAATTTTGTCTCCACTGCGAAGAATCACAACTTCCAGTAATATACTCTAACCAAGCAGATATCTTGGGGACTTCGGTATGCTGGCTTCTATCAGTCTATCATGCCCTCAAGAATTTTTTTCAACAAAAAAAGGAAGAAAAAGAATTACCTGCTCGTAAAAATAGAGTGCTCTTTCGAAATTCTTAAGCCCAGTGTATATCATTCCACCATAGTAGTAGTAACACAGAAAGTGCTTGGCATCGTAGGCCCCGTTCTCTTTACAAATATCCATCATGTCCACATCTAGATACGGGAGGGCAGGTTTAAAGCATTTGGCTAATAAACAGAGCTAAAATGAAACAGACCAGAGTTAAGAAAAACCAGCCGCTAATCTGAGTTGCTTCAGAGCAAGAATGTGAATAGTAAATCAAGGCAAAACGTCAGGCCAGTGAAATTATCGGGGTAGGTGTGTCTCTGGGCTGGTGCATTGACTAGAACCACAGAGAGATACAGGCTGTCATGTTGGACTTTAAAAGGAAGATAAAGCTTAGAACTTTCTGGAAAGTAATGCAATCAAAACTCCATTCCCTTTTTACAGGAGCCAGAGGGTGGGTGGGTGGCATCTCAACTGTTTTTCATCCCCTGCGTATGCCCCCTGCTATCGGCTGCTTCATGCCATCATCGCGCAAACGATCCACACAAAGCAGTTCAAACCTTTGTGTGATGACATGTGTGAAACCCAAACCTCAAAGAGACAGAAGCTAGGTAGGGGAATTCAAAGTCAGCCTGATCACATCGGAGAAATTTAGCTTGGGAATAGCTGAATTTAAACAAGATTGCAGGCAACACCAGGGCAGGGATTAACTCCTAGTTCAATTCTGTTTTTCTGTTATTAGGGTGGCCTACTCTGCTAGGAGGAGGGCTTCAGTCTTAGATCCTCACCTGGCAAAGATCAGCGTGTATTGAGGTCAGTTGGTTGGTATTCATCTGCATTTTGTCTATAGCTTGCCTGAGAATGCTGATTCCACGCAGGGGCTGTTGGAAAGCAAGCAAATTAGATCGGTTTCCACATACACCCAAAAAGGGCTTTCTATAGATTTGGAGCAGCTTAATTTGTCCTGATATCAGAAAGCTGTGAGCCCCCTCGCAAAGATGTAAAAATATCTCACCAACTTGACAAGTGAGGACAAACATTTATTTACTACGATTTCTATGTTTTGTTTACATGCCATTGTTCTGCTCCAATGAGTATTGTTTAGCATGAATGCACAATGTTAAAAATCCAGCTTTCCTCAAGATCAGCAGTCTGAGAATCAAAGGACTTGCACTGCTTAACTTCCTTACCTGCTTCCGTTCCACGAGGGCATTTGTTAACTGATGGCACAGGCCAGCGACTAGGGAGAAGGAAAGAAGAAGGAACTGAGATTGTGCTAACTCGGGATTTAAGATCATGGAAAATTACATATCAACATTTATAATTTGTCCACAGATGGTTCCTTTTAAGTTAGACATTAATATTAAGGTCAGTGGTGCTCCTGGGATGAAGTTAACGTTCATTTGTAACTCTTTAGAAAACCAATAAATATTTTGCCGAAGGAGGTCGCAGGATGGCAGAAGCCACTTACAGGTGTCTGTGGCATATCGAATGTGCTCTCCGTTGCAAGTGCTGATGAAAAGCTGGACCTGCGAGAATAATGTTTCGAAGTCAGGGACGCTGGGCATAGAAAACTTCACAAACCTACAAAGGAAGACAAAGCACAGAATGCAAACCATCTCTTTCTTGGACCCCCATAAGAGCTCCTTAAACCCCACTGAAGGACATGTTAACTGTGTTAGATGGCTAGTTTGGGGGCTGTTTTCATGCTGAAATCCTGCCGCTGTTAGGAGATTTCTAAATAGGAACGAAAGAAATATAGGCAGCCCTTGAGTTATGGCCTCAGAACAATATGTCACATTTCCCCCCATGGACATAGGACTGCATTTCTGGTGTGTGGCAACCAGCTTGCCTTTATGACCAGTTTTAAATTGTGACTGCAATGCTTTTTGCCAGTTTCCAGTGTTTTTTTGCTAGTTTCCAGCAACCCCCCCCCCATTGGAGGAATGTGCCATTTGCTTAATGATTGTGGTGATTTGCTTAACAACTGTGAAAATGTCAAATTCAGATCCAGCCACGTGGCTGCCTTGACGTATGACCACACTGACTTACAAACAGATTTCTGATCCCAAGCAGAAGATTCACAGAAAAGAAGCATCGTGAAAATCAAGTTTGTCTCTCTATTTAAGTCTAACAATAAAGCTTCCAATGAAGGAGGGTCACTTACAAAACCGCCAAAACGCCCAATGAGTGTTCCTGGACATCGAGCGCCCCAAGCACGGTATCCAAATGGGAGAGGTTTTTTGCTAGCAGTTCTCCACTTTTGTTGATCAGTTCGCAAAGCTGAGTCATTTGTCCTGAGAGAAACAAAAAAGGTTGGAAAGTGGAAAAAAAAGGAAGAGGATCTATCGCTCTATGCCCTATGAATAGCCAGCTCCACAAATACCAAGGGAATGGCCATCTCTGCCATAAAACCAGAGGTGTACAAAATATAATAAGCCAATACTGTAATTAACACAACAGGGACAGCGTGTCTCAGTTTAAGGTGCTCAAGAGGAAGGTGTCACAAAATCAACTCTTTAGTACAAAACAACAGGCAGAATTGTAGAAAAGGTGCTCTACTAAAATTTTTATTCTATTAATATTTTATTCTGTTTCAGAAGGCTCAGCTGACCAATTTACCAATCTTATGGACCAAAGAGGAAAGCTTTAATTAATGAAATTGTTTTCTAGCCTCCCTTATCAGCAGTTAATTTTCACATCACAATAATAGGAAAGATTAGACACTTCGGTCCCCAACCAAGTAATACCATGGACAGCACCCCAGCTGAAATCCTATCATTTCAATTCCTGAATGAAAACAGTTCAGCCAAGGATAGAATCTTGTATATAAATCTCTTAAAATTTAAATGCCCCAAAACAACACACTCACATAAATATACAATTCTCATAAATCTCTGCATATATGTAATAATCATAAAACGGAAAATAATTTAAATGGACCTTGGTGTTCCTACAGGTAACATGAAATTAGAAAGCACCAAAGTCAGGTATCTTTTGAATTGTAGAACTAAACTTAAGACAAGACACAATTTGCCACCATCCAGTCTGAAACAATGAAATGGAAAAGATCCTTCTGCCCACAAGATTTTTCTGAGATTTTCCAGAGCAAAGTTAGGATCTTAAACCAACTTCCCAGCTGAGAAATATTGCTTTTATCAACAGAGACATTTATGCAAGGGTGCCAAAACCAGCAGCTTCTAGAACTGCCCCTCAGCAGGGATCTGCTGAAACACCTATTAAAAATGGAAAGCCGGCAGTCATAAAGCTACCTCACTGTTCCAAAGAACATGGATTTATTTTTGCTTTATTGACCCAAACTGTGGCTGCAGGACCTGCAAAGAACGCTGTAAAATGTTCTCCCATGCCAACCATTTCTCAGCTCTTTTAAAGTAAAGAATCCAACAAAAAGTCAAGCTGGCCAGATAGACAGAATCCAGAAGGGAAAAGCCTGGTTGATCCTTTTTGGGGGGGGGGGGAGAAGGGGAAAGATGCCTGTCCTGGGGGGAGAGGAGGGCTGCCCCACAGAAGGCAATTTCGCTGCAGGACCATCCAATAACCTTCCAAGTTGGGGGATCAAGTGGAATTGGGCTTTGGACAGGAGACCACCAGGCGATCCTAGAGTGGCCACCTGGGAAGCGGGAAATCCAGCTGTGAACAGGCAGAGCCAGACCCCCACACACACATCCCGGGTCTCTATCCCCCCTCCCAGATTCCCAACCAGCCCGGGAGCGCCAGGTTGGGGAAGGGCTGCTCGGCTCCCTCCCCCGCCCATGAGGGTTCTGCGAGCCAAAAGACGAGACCCTGAAGCTCCGCCCCGCCCGCAGACAGACAAACGCGGCAGCCAACAGGCGGCTTTGGGAGGCGGGGCCCTTTCTCGGAGGACGCCCGAGGCCGGAGCGCACCGGAGGGCGGCAGCGGCCTCCACGTGCGCGCCCGGCCTCGCGTCCTACCTTGGGCCGAGAGCTGCCGGACGCTATTGACGAACTGTTCCAGGGCGGACGCCATGGCGGTGCTGGGAAGGGGGGGAAGGACGAGGCCCGGCCGGGTCAGCCGCGGAGCAGCCGCCTCTGCCTCCTGCTCCTACAGACGCAGCGGGAGCGACGTCGCTGCCGCGAAGGGCCAATCAGGGGCCGCGCTCTGGGAGCGTCACTTCCGGCGCGCGGCGCGGGAGCCCTGCTGGGGGCGTTGCCATGGGGATCGCCTCCCACCCGGAAGTGGGCGAGCCAACAGGGCCGCTTCCTGCTCAAAGCGGATTTCGCGCACGCGCAGTGGCTCAACAACAGTCCCATATCGCCGCCTTTTTTGCGGCCGAAGGGGGAGAGCGTCGTGTCTGTATTTTATCTATGAAATTATATTTATTTATTTATTAAACGTGTATATAGTTCATATTATTAAATATGATATGCATATATATATAAAGCCCTACAAATGCAATGCAAAGTGTTGCTACGTTAAAAATGGGCTTTTGGCTCTTTCACTAATTCGGGGGGGGGGGGGAATTTTGCTGTCTAGGTATTTGTGAGATTGGACAGCCAATTTGTCCGAAATGGTATAGGATCTCCTGCTTGAGCAGGAGGTTGGACTAGAAGACCTCCAAGGTCCCTTCCAACTATTCTGCTAATTCAGATAGAAGAAAGGTAGGTAGGTAGATAGGTAGGGATAAAGGCTTTGCCTTATTGTCTGTCTTTTATAGGCAGCAGGATTTAATGTGACAAGGCTTCCAGTTCATCAGTTTATCTTCTCCGCCCAAGCTTGTACCATTTAAAAATAGAGGAGGGAGCCTCAACCATCTGATTCCTCCTTCACCCCAGCGGGATTCCGGCACCCCAGCAGGTGTCCATCCTAAGAGGTGCCAGGGATCTGAAACCCGCCTAGGTGGGCGACCTCAGCCAGAAGAATGGAAGGGATCCATCCTCCAGGAGAACCATCAACAGAAGTCAGAAAAGACAGACAGGGTCCCGCCATATGTCCTAGTTTGCGCCTGGAGGCTCAGATTACTGGACTTCCATTGGCCTGGCAACCTCCTTGACCAGAGAGCACCATTTGAATTCAACTTAGGTCAGAAATGCTTCTGGGGTCTTGAGGGAAGTAGCCTTTCAGGGTTAGAATTCAGAGGTTTGCTGGTTGCAATACCCTGAGATATTTTGCTCAAAGAAGTCTGGTGGATTCCATCGGTCCAATTGGGTCCATAAATAGTCCTCCTTTGGTGACCGCAATGGGGGCCACCAACTGGTCATTAAGGGAAGCTCAAGTGAAACCGAGAGGGGGCTTATGGTCTCCCTTAGGAAGAGAGTTGTAGTGCAGGAAAGCCAATGCCTTGTAATAAAATCTGGGCAAATCTGAGGAAGGGAGCTGCAAAATTCTGCTTTTTCATAAAAGGTGTATATTTCTAGGAATGCTGCAGCCTTTCCATAAGTTGGCTTAGTGGGAAGAGGGAAAACCAGACCCCTTCTGGCTTTATTTCCTGGAAAGTCCACGCAGGACCCTGCCCCTTTCACCCTACCCGTGCCCCGCTTCGCCTTCCTCCCCATCGTTAGCTCTGCGCCCGGGGAAGGCGCGGCGAGGGCGCGCGAGGCTCCCGGGTTGGCACGGAAAGCGGAGCCCGCGGCGACGGCCAGGAGAAGCGGAGCCCCGCCGGACCGGTTGCGGGGGAGAAGGGACCGGCTGAATCGGAGCAGCTCCCCCGGCTCGCCCGGCGCTGGGACTCTTGGGCATCGGCAAGCGACTTCGGCAGGCAGCTCTCTCGCTCGTTTGTTTTTCTTTCCTTCCCTTTCCTTGCCTCGGCCCCTCACTCTTTCTCTCCCTTCCTTCCTTCCTTCCTTCCTTCCTTCCTTCCCTTCCTCCCTCCCTCCATTCCTTCCTTCCTTCCCCCTCCAGCCTCCAGCCCATCCACGCGCGCCGAATTCCGCAGTGACCGCCCGGCGCCTTCCTCCCGTGACCTTCGGATCCTGCGGCAAAGGCGGGTGCGACCGGCTCTGCCCTGAAGGGGGTCTCGACCCCCCCCCTCTCCGCCCGGAGACGTCCCTGCCCGGCCATGATCCCCCGCTGGAGCAGCGGCCTCCTCCAGCGCCCGCAGCGGGTCCTGGGCGCCTGGGCGCCTCTGGTGGGCGCGGGCAGCGGCGGGGCGCATTCCGGGCGCGCGGCTGCCCCTGCCCGGCCGCTGCGGGTGTTGGTGGACATGGACGGGGTGCTGGCCGACTTCGAGGGGGGCTTCCTGAAGAAGTACCGCGCCCGCTATCCGGACCTGCCCTACATCGCGCTGGAGGAGCGCCGCGGCTTCTGGGTCTCGGAGCAGTACGGGAACCTCCAGCCGGGGCTGAGCGTGAGTCCCGTCCTGAGCCCCCCGCCGCCCCCCCCGGGCTTGCAAGCAGCGATAACCCCTGGGGGAGACGTCCGAAGGGCGGCCGGGGAAGCAGAGTAAACAAGGGTGGGTTGACCGGCCGTCGCTCTTTTGCTCCCCGCTCCAAGGATTTCAGCACCTTCCTGCGTCCTCAAAGCCTCCCTGGCCTTCTCCGTTGGCTGCTGGGGAAAAATGGGGGGAGCAGAGAGGGGCTGGCGGCTGGGCCCCCATTCAGAGGCTCCCCAGTCCATTTCTGGCTCAGGAGACCCACACCAGCTGCAGTGACTGTCCATTGCACTATTTAGGTTCCCTGGAGAATGTAGAGGCATTCCTTATTCTAACCCAGCCTCTACAAGTAGTCCTCACTCTACAGCTGTTCCTTTAGCGACCATCCAAAGTTATATTGCCCCTGAAAACTGTGACTGGCAGTTCTCCTACCTAGGAGGGTTGCAGCATCCCCATGTGATCCACAAATTCAGATATTTGGCAACGGGCATGTTTTACGATGGTTGCACTGTCCGAGATGTTCAAATATTTGTGACTTTCCCTGGCGTGTGCACTGTGTTTTTTTGTCTTGCCCCCCCTTCCGCCCACTTTGCAGGAAAAAGCTATCAGTATTTGGGAATCCAAGAACTTTTTCATGGAGCTCGACCCCCTTCCAGGGGCCGTGGAGGCTCTGAAGGAGATGGCAGAATTAGAAGCGTAAGTATCAGGCCATAAAATGGGAACAGCAGCAAGTTCTCCAGATGTTTTACAATGTGCCTCTCTAGATTAATCATAGAACATAGAATCCTAGGGCTGGAAAGGCCACAGAGGTCTTCTAGTCCAACCCACATTCAGGGCAGGAGACCTTAGACCATTCCAGTCAAATGGTGGTCCAGTTTATTTTTGAAAACCTCCACTTTTCAAAATATAATAATGATAATTTTCCTGTTTTCAAAATTGATCATCCTTGTTTTGCTGGTAAGTGAGGTGGGAGAGATCCTGTAGACAGAAAGCAGTATGGTGGGTGGGGGGTGGGGGGGATGAGAAATCCCACCCCTTGCAGAGAAGTTCCAGAACTTGAGTGGGAAATGGCCCAAACATTCCAGTTTGTAGAAGATCTAGGAAGCTGAAAATTCTTTGTCAACCAAATCAATGAATCACAAACCAGTTGCTTCCCCCCCCCCATGCACAGAAAGTTCTGTTGGAGAGTCAGAATACAGTTGTAGAAAAATAACAGAGAAATATGAGTTGCTCTCCCTCTCTCTTTTTATGGTAGGACCGAAGTTTTCATATGCACAAGTCCCATCAAGAAGTATCGCTATTGCCCATATGAAAAGGTAAAGCCTGCTCAACAAATCTTGGGTTACTCACTGGTTAAATCAGAAGAACCAGGATTCTGATTGGTTTTTTTTTTTCCACATTCAAGCTAAATGCTGCAGGATTGATAGAAACTGCTCTGATTTAACTTCACCTTCCAGTTCCCTTCCTTCTCAGAGCTGGCTTGTTGACAGGAAACCCTGGCCCACATGGTTTATTTATTTTTATTTATTTGTGTATTAAATTGAAATGCTGTCCATCTCACCCTAAAAATGACTCTAGGAGCTTTCATTTTACCCCTTTCCCAGCCCTACAGAAAAAGGTCCCTTCTCATCATCCACCCAAATGTTTTCACCTTCATGTCCTCTGCTGCCTTCCAGCTTGCTTGGGTAGAGAAGCATTTCGGACCCGAATTTTTGGAGCACGTGATTCTCACCCGGGATAAGACGATCGTCTCGGGACATGTGCTGATTGATGACAGGCCTGATATCGTAGGTAAGGTGGGGAGGGAGGGGTGGTGCTGGGGAAGAGAACCCTTGGAGGGGCCAAAATTGGACCAATTTGCATCATTTCAGAGTCACACAACCCACACCTTCACTGGCTGTCTTCCCTTTCCCTTTCAGGAGCTGAACGCACCCCTGCCTGGGAGCAGGTGCTTTTCACTGCCTGCCACAACAGACACCTGCAGCTCCCGGCTTCTTGCCCCCGGTTGCACTCGTGGGCCGATGACTGGAAGGCCATCTTGGAAAGCAAACGGGGCTGCTGAAGCCATGAAGGTTCTCAGCAAGGCCAGCCTAGAGCAGGCCTGGTTGCCTGAAGACTCTCTTCTTGAGTTGCTGGCGTAGAAGAAGACCTGTTGCTTTCCTTGGGTCTGGGCTGGCCTGTCAGAAGGAAGAGCTGTGGTCTCAAATGGCAGCCAGTTTTGGTAGCTAAAGGAAGCCCTTGAGTTTTTACAGGAGCGGTGTTGGCCAAGTCTTCCAACTATGTTGAGGGCCTTTCGTTGAGTAGATCAACTCAGGATGGTTTCCCATTCCTGCTTAACTTTCTGTGAGGTCTTCTTCATTCAAGGTAATGGTCATCCTCATCTTTGGCCTCCAATGGATGGACATTGACCTTCTGGAACTCAAATGATCCTTGTTGCAGTGGACGTGCAAGAAATGTTCCTGAGTGCAAAGTTGAGGGAGATGTTGGTGGCCTCCTGATCTCATGTGCCCAGCCACGATCTCACAGGCATCTGTGAGTTTGCTGCACTGATTCACCTGAAGGATCGCCTGATTTCAGAGCTTTCTAAAACCCAGGGAGCATTGGGGTCCAAAAATCAAGATGGATCTGCAACGGGACAGTCAAATCCATGCATAATGTTGCACATAATACAGTCAAGCCTTCAATTCCCTGTTGTAGCTTCCCTTGTGGGTGTGTCCAAGTGGACCCTAATGTCTCACAAAAGTAATAGAAGAGATACACAACTAAAGCCCGTGTTTCCCATTCTGGAGGTCTTTAGGCCTTTTTTCCTGGAGACCATGCTGATCTGGTCATTCCAGGGAGTGTCTGAATGTTTTCTGAGACTAAACAGGGTGTTGTTCCTAAGGATTTATTTGTGGTCAGTGTGGGAAGCAATCTCAGAACTGGCCGAAGAGTCTGGACTAGGAGAAAAGAAATCTTTCTGAAGTTCTACAGAACATTGCATCTTTGTGGGATCCTTGGTGCTCTTTGAATGGTGGTAGTTTTCTTGCAGACGTTTCATTACCCAAACTAGGGAACATCATCAATGTTAGAAGGGAGTGGGGGAAATTTGTAGCACTGATGATGTTTCCTAGTTGGGTCATGGAACATCTGCAAGAAAAACACCAAGCTCAGAGAGCACCAAGGGCCGCACAGTTTAATCCTGAGCTACAAATATTCTCTTCCATCAGTAACTTCGCATCTCTGAAATGAGACACTTCGCACAACCCTAATTTCTACCTGGATGGATTCTACTTGCCATCTACTTGTGGCAATATAGATCTGTTCATACCTTCACGTAGAACCTCATCTTCCCCAGAAGATTCTAATCCTGGCCTGCTGGTTTCTCCTCTGCACTAAGTTACATCAGCTCAAATCTCAAAGGACCCAGTCCGGAGGCAGGTTATTCCATCCACCTTTTAGTCTACAGTAAGTGGGTTGAGCAAGGTTGGCCCAACATTTGCCGTTATCCAGATAGATCTCCTTAGTGCTGGAGTGTGTATGTGTGGGAGAAGCCCTTCCCAATCCTTTAGAAAACTTCAAGTAGAGCCATTTTTTTCACAGACTCAAACTGATTATCATGCACTTGGTTTGGGACTTTCTGAAATGTCCAAATGACTCTGTATGAAATCTCACGTGACAAACCAGGATGTGGTTTTAACGTATGGATATTACAGGGACAAGCAGGAAGTATGCCTCCTCTCCAACATACCCCGATGTACACACAATATTCCATCTATTTGTTTAACCTGAATGTCTCCAGCTCTGCATCTCTGCGTATTTTTAGTGTGCAAATACAACCAACAATTTGTGCTTGAGAAACGATCCTATTGTGTTTTGTCATGTGCCATATTTGTGGATTGTGTTGCAATGTGGCCGAACCCGTGTCTGATTCAGTTCTTCACTTCTCTAAGTCAAAGGTCTCTCCTGGTGGTTTGACAGGCATCTCTACAACCTCACTTGCTATTTCCTTTTATTTCCAGGTTATATTTTGATCCCCTACCTAACCCAGGTTCAGAGATTTCCAGGAGTTCCTCCATTGGATCAGACTTAAATTTGTCAATGTGGAACATGTACAAAGTACTAAATCCCCAAATCTGCCACCAGAGAGCAATCTAGGACAAGATTTGATTCTCTTTTATTTGTCTTTTTCTTTTGGGTGGAGGTGGACCAAATCCCAGCAAAGTCCAATTCCGAGCTGGCAGAAATGTGAAGCCACTTTTTGAAAAATTCAGTTTTTCATCTGAAGCTTTTGTGCAAACATTTGTGGTGGGGACTCAAGCCCACTCCTCCAGTGACATGCTGTCCAAAGATTGAACAAGTCATGATGATGGAGTGGAGCTAACAGGCAAACAGCCCAGTTCTCTAGTCTTCTTTTCAGCTGCCGCAGATGTTAGGAATTAAAGCCAAATATGTGGGTTTTAAAACTGAACAAGGTGAGGAAGTGGGAGTGGGAAGAAAGAGAGATGGGGGGAGGAAGGAAGGGAAAGAAAGAAAGAAAAGAAGGAAGGGAGGGAGGGAGGGAGGGAGGAAGGGAGGACATTTTTCAAGTCACACATTTTAGTCAAAAGAATCCATATTTGTCAGTCACAGCTCATGAAAGCATTTGCCTCTGAATAAAGCATTGTTGGAAAAATGCTTGAGAAATGGGTTGGATTAGAAAACCTCCAAGGTCCCTTCCAACCTGGGGGACATGATAGCAGTATTCCAATATCTCAGGGGCTGCCATAAAGAAGAGGGAATTAAGCTATTTTCCAAAGCACCTGAAGGCAGGACAAGAAGCAACGGGTGGAAACTCATCAAGGAGAGAAGCAACCTAGAACTAAGGAGAAACTTCCTGACAGTGAGAACAATTAATCAGTGGAGCAGCTTGCCTCCAGAAGCAGTAAATGCTCCAACACTGGAAGTTTTTAAGAAGAGACTGGACAGCCATTTGTCCGAAATAGCGTAGGGTTTCCTGCCCGAGCAGGGGGTTGGACTAGATGACCTCCAAGGTCCCTTCCAACTTTACTACTATTACTAACCTCTAATTCTACGTCCTAATTTGGGGCTTCTGCAAATTCACACAGCTACAGTTCCTACAGAGAAAGAGAAATGCATAAATAAGATGAAAGGAAAAGTTTTCTATTCCAGAGAAGTGAATTGCTTTAATTTCCTGTTTGCCCCTTGTCTTGCCCATCCATAACCTCTGCCAGATGTGCAGACTGCTTTCGCCCCCAACTGGCAGCTGAATGATGCATAGAAAGATCCATTTTTCAGATCTAGTAGATTTTCCGAAAGGGATCCACCTTCAGGATCCAAACAGAAGCCAAAGCCTCTTCTCTCAAGCTTGTTCAGCAAAAGGTTTTGGCCTGACCCGGAGCATTGGATTGGAGCTGATACACACGTTGCTCTGACACGCCAAAGTGCGTCAGTTCACAGAGTGTGTCCCTGTGCCCGGCTTTCCTTGCACAACCTCGGGGGGGGGGAGTTTCGCCCACACCATGATGTTGGCAGACATTTCTGGAGAAGAGGAAAAAAAGTATTTGGAAGTCTTGTTGGAAAGGAAACCCACAAGGTGCGTAGCATTTGGGGCAACACAGCTTCTCTTTCCCCACATCAGATGGTGATGCACCCCTGAGCATAACAGCCTTCCCCCCCCTAAAAAGGACACAAAGCCCCTTTTGTCGTTCTTGTTTTTAACTCTTGCTCTTTGACGTCATGGGGAGTTTGGTCAGCCAACCTCAAGGCTGGAATTTCTTAGCATTCAGCCGATGGGCAAAGCTGGAGGAGAGGGCTGGGGAATAATAACACTTCAAGAAAAACCCACTTAAAATTCACCTATTTTGTTTTCTTCCTTTTTCTTTCTTTCTTTTTTAAACATAAGTGATTTATGCAACTCTGGGACCTGCTTTATCTTCCCAGCTTTGGGCAAAGATATAATTCTTTCCTCGGGCATTTTTCTACTGTCATTTTGAAGGATTCCTTGCTAATTTTAAGCACCTGCATTGTACCAGGATGTGGTTTGTCTACGTTGTGATAATACCCTTCAGGGCTCCCCGTCCAGATATTTATTGGTTTTATGGTTGTATGGCTTTTATTGGTTTGAACTGGTTTTGCAATCTGTAGGAGAATTGGGGCTATTGGAACAAAGAATGGCTAATCTTTTTTAACATCATTGATACAGCCAAGGGCTGCAGCCTTCCCTCAAGCAGGGGAATAAAGCTTGTAAAGAAGATTTTAGGAAAGAAATAGGGGGGGGGGGAAACCCCTACTTTTTAAACAATTTGAATGGCAGGATTTCCCAGCATGTTTCTTTCCTTCTCTCTCCCCCTTTCCTCCTCCTTCTTGTCTTAAAAGGTTAGAGAGGATACATATAGTTGGACGAATTCAGGTCGTTCTTGGCTTATGACCAGTCACTTATTGACAGTTGGAAAACGGGACTTAGGACCCAGTTTCCAAGTCACTTGATGACTGTCTCAACTTAGGGCTGTAATGCCAGGCCATAACTTGAGGACTACCTGTAACATACAATAGCTGATGCTGCCTCTGGGCCACATTCAGTTTGCAATAACTGAACTCCGAAGGAACAACAGCCAGAAATAGCTCAGAGAACACTGGTTGCCCATCACAAGCCATTTTCAAAATTAAGGGCCAGATTGCTCTATAAAAGAAGACTTGGTAAACATCACCAAATTGACTTTTCCGCAGATCTAACGTGCTGTCATATTTTTCTCTGTTTTGATCTGTGTTGATGAACAGAGGCAAGCAACTGCAAAAACTTCTGACCTACTTTATGCTTGTGTGGGCTGGAAGCCGCTGAGTGAGAAGGAAAACATGGGTATTTATTGCCCCATTTTTAAATTGCCCCCATTGACCAAAACAGCCTTCCATGCCAGATGGATTATCCAGACAAAAGAAAGAAAAATCTTTCTAAAAAGTCCTGGGAAAGGTAGAGAAGGAACAGCAGGACCCTGCAATCTTGGTGGGGGTCAACTTGATTGTGTTGTCAGCTGACCACCACCCAAGTCATTTTCTAAATGCTTATTTTACTTGATTGGCAGCTTCTAACAACCATCTGATGGGCAGAAGAAGATTTTACAGAAAGTGACTAGAGATTGAAGTTTCTTCTCTCTATGTTTTCTGGAGAATCTCCTTGCGGATCTGAGAGGCTGGATGGAAAGTTCAATGTTCAACCTTAAGATGTGTGGACCAACTCCCAGAATTGCCCCCCTAACCAGGTCATGGTGGCAGCCTCAACCATGAACTGTAATGGAAGCTCCACCACCTTTCTCAACCCTGGCACTGTTTGTGAATTATGGGCTATGTTGCCTAGGGATGATGGGAACTGAAGTCGCCTCAGTCAAAATCAGGGTTTGAAAAGGCTGGTTTAACCAAGTTCCAGATTCACATTTGAAGATGAGTTGCCTGACAGTGAGATGGCCAATGTATAAATTTAATAAATACCAAGTAAATAAGTTGATGATAGGATAGATAGATAGATAGATAGATAGATAGATAGATAGATAGATAGATAGATAGAGGTATACATAGATAGATACAGATAGACAAATGATATAGATAATAAATAGATGATAAAGACAGACGATAGATGTTATGTCCCGAGCCTTTGCAAACGGCTCGGGCGTTTGCAGGCAGTCCCGGGCAGGTGCAAAGCTGCCCGGGACCAGACAGGCTGTCGCCAGCGCCGTGCGCATGCGCGGGTGCTGGCGCGGGAAAAGTAACCCATTTACCCGGGAGTTGCCTATATAAGAGGCTGTGAGGCGTTTGGGCTGATCTGAAGCCATCTTCCTGTAAGCTGAACGCTGAATAAAAGAACCTGAGAACTCCAGCTGCTTCTCGTGTCTGTTTTCCCGCCAAGGACGCAACACTGGCGACGAAGGTGGGATGCCTTGCACTACCTGGAAAGGAAAAAGTGTAAGCTTACCCAAGGAGTCCTGAGCGGCAGAAGAGGAACGGTGTTGACTCAGCAGCTGCCCGCCAATCCAGTGCGCATTCGGGGGTAGGCTGGCTGATAGACCCGTCTCCTGAAGATCCGAAGATGGAGAAAATCGGAAGGCTTGCGGAATTCGACGTCTCACATCCAGAGCGGTGGGAGTCCTACGTATCCAGAATGGAGAACTACTTCAAGGCAAACCAAGTGAGGGAAGATAGCTTGAAGGCTGCCACCCTGCTTTGCGCTTGCGGCCAAGACGCCTTCGAAATCGCAGAAAACCTTGCAGCACCTGTTCCAGTATAGTCTGTAAGCTACGCAGACCTGAAGAAGCTGCTGAAGGACCACTTCCACCCCAAGGTGTCCGTTATCTCATGGCGCCACACCTTCGAGCAGAGGGATCAACGGTCCGGGGAGTCAGCCAAGGAGTACATCGCCGCGTTACGGAAGGCCGCCAAGACCTGCGAGTTCAAGGACCTCGAGGAACGACTGAGGGACCGATTCGTGTGCGGGTTGAGGCATCGAGAGCTACAACAGAGACTTTTCGCTAAGGAAGAATTATCCTTCCAAGACGCTTTAAGGGAAGCCACCGCGGAAGAATCAGCAGGCGGCGCCGTCAAGAACATGCGGCCGATCAGAAGCAGTGCAGAGGGTGCGTCCGTGCACCAAGAAGACGTCCGACGAAACTCCGAGGAGGATCCGGACGAAGAAGTCGACCGTCTACACACCGCGAAGGGAGAAAATCAGAAGGAAAGCTCTTCAGCTCCGCTCAAGTGCATCGGCTGTGGAGGTCGCCACAGGAGAACCGACTGCAAGTTCCGCTCCGCTACCTGCCGGGCATGCGGTAAACAAGGGCACATTGCAGCTGTGTGCCTGGGCCGACGA